CCACCCTGTTACTCAAAGTGCCGACCACCTATCAACTGGATACGGCGTACCTTTTGTCCTGCCTTCATGAACGCTTGCAGCACTCTGACAAATTGCCGTTTACCTCTTTTAACTCCATTCTTTATCTCTCCGCTCACCTCTACTCTGCAGAGAGGATAGAGCTGTCGGACCTTACTGAACTCGTCAGTCCTCTTGTTCGGCAGGCCTGGGAGTTCTTGTCTGCTTCCGAGCCAAAATACCACGTTGAAACAGTCCGATCATTGTGGCAGCTTCAGGCTGCCCTTACTTCACAGAACCGTGACATAGAAGCTGCGCTTGCCAGCCTAATCATTGAAAATGATGTCCAAGGATCATTCGCATCGCGTCCAGCTGATGCTGGTCGCCGCTTCAGCGTGCTGTGGTCCCATACGCTACAAGATTCTAACGCCGAAAGACGAGGCTCCAAGACGCCTATGATTGAAATGCCTCCTCATGCTCGATTGGCAGGTTCGGAAACCTACTACGTTATGTTGGAGCGGCCTCTCTTCCTCATGCTAGATGCTCTCTTGGACGAGCGAACCCAGTTGTTCATGACTGTTAAGGGATGGTTAAACAGCTTGGTAGGCATTGACAAGTAAGTCGAGCTGCATCCTACGATGAGCCAGGGTGCTAACTAGCACCAGATTGTTTCTGCTCTTCGTGCGGAAGTTTTCTGCTTTGGGGTTTCTTCGATCAAGTCGTGAGATTGGCTCAGCCGCCACTTCGGCCAGTTCAACTACCTTTACGGCAGATGATGACTTAGATCTTTGCCTCTACTACCTAAGAACATTGTCCAATGTTTTCCGTTGGGCCCCAGATATCATATGGGCTGTGTTGGCATCGACGAGTCTTACAGTCGGTAGCGAGCATGCAGAGATCGCGCAGATGAGTAAGTTACAATGCTATTTTTTGAGTACCTAGTGCTGACCGTCATAAGCTGGCCAAGAAGGCGACATCACCATGCAAGAGGTATTTGTTCATGTCTGTTTGAGATGTATCGCCGGAAACAACGAGCCTGCGGATGAGCACATTCGCGTTCGGGCCACGCAACTTCATCGCTACGCCCTCACCGTCATGCATCAGATCCTTTTGAACCCTTACGCCGAACCCCTTGCCCGTTTGCACCTTGAGAATGTTCTTATCGAGCGTCTTCTCCAGTCTCTCAGCGGGCCCGATCCCTACGTTCAGGTCCTTCTTTTGGACGTCGTATTCGATGCATTGAAACTTCGAGACATCGTCATCTCCGACGTTCCTGCTTCTCCATCATCAGAAAAGAGGAAGATGAGCCTTGACCCTATCAAGAGCCTCAGAGTGTCATCACAGTTGGATAGGAAGCCAACAGCTCCGCCGCCCAACCTACTCAAGTGTCTCCAGGCCGGGTTGAGCTCGCCTAGCAGTCGCAGTGTTCTTGACAGTTGGGTCAGCTTCTTGACAGAATGCTTGCCCTTCTACTCGGATACCATATTCCAAGTCCTCATTCCTTTGGTGGAAACGCTTTGTCGGCAGGTTTCGAATACCTTCAACGACTTACAATCCATTTTCAGAGACACCGGCGGTTCTAGGAAGGGTGATTGGAACGCGCCCGAGTCAACGCTAATATCCCTTCTCAATGCTCTAGAGCAAGTTCTAGCCCGGGCGCACGAGCGACTTCTGGTTGAAGAAGCCAGAACGCAAGTCGCCAAAGGCCCAGATCAGCACCCAGGATTTTTTGGAAACATGGTATCGGGTGTCTTCAACTCAGATGCACCACAAACCCGGAGTGCCACCGCCAACGACAGACTCACTGTTCATCTTGCGTTCGCGGATGCAGTTCGCATTTGCTTTACAATCTGGTCATGGGGTCAAGGCAGCGACATGAATGCTCAAGACATGACATCGATTTCCTCTTTCAACTACACATCACTGCGTATGAGAAATCGAGCTAGACGGCTACTGGAGCATCTCTTTGCCGCCGAGACCTTGGAGTGCCTCGAAACGGTTATTGAGATTTGGCGGAGCTCAATCAATATTACTACGCCGGCCCCTCAGTCCGAAGTGTTCAATCTCCTCCCAGCATTGGACGGTTCTCGACCTAAACACACCATTCCTGCTATTTTCAATGCCATCTACAGCAGGACGAACCCCGGGGCGTTGGACATCTCAAGGAAATCGACTCTGACAACGTCTCTTCAAGACATAGACCTCGTCACGTTCTTGGTTGAGTACGCTCGTTCGCTTGAGGACGACGCAATGGACGAGATATGGCTTGACTGCATGGCATTCTTGCGCGATCTGCTCACAAATCCTTTCCCGCACCGGCAGACGCTGCCAAGTCTGCTGGAATTCGCCGCTATTCTGGGAGAAAAGGTGGACAACACCAACTTCGGCGAGCAGCGGAAGATGAGGCGGGAGCTTGGGGTAAGTACAGTGAACACTATCCGTGATGCATGACTAACAACAACCAGGATCTCTTCCTCCGGCTTCTGACCGCAATATTCACAACCAAGCCCATGACGTTCGCGGATGCACCGCCTTACGAAAAGTTGGAGAAGAATCGGGATGGTGTACGCCGAACCGCCACGTTATCTTTGGCCACCGTTCTTGATAGAGCTGAGGATGTGGTGGCTATCCTGGCCTCGATCGTTCCAAACCTGCCCAAAATCTTGGTCGAGACAGACCGTGTGTTGTCTGCCGCGAGCACTATTTCGACAAACGTTATCAGCCCAGCTTTCAGAGCAAAAGGATTTCCTGACACGGTGTCCAAGAACACTCTTGTGCTGCTTCAAGAACTGTCCAGGTTACCTAACAACCAGAAGACCTGGAAGAAGGATGTTGGAGATGCCTTTAACGACGTTAGGTTCTTCGGCTCGAGCATCGACCTGGTGCGAAGCGACTGGTTGCCGTTACTGAGACAATGGACCATCAGCGACAAGGAGCGCATGCCTGAGCTCCTAAGTCGCATGACTCCGCCCACAACAGCCGGTATCGTGTTCGGTGTCGGCGCCACTTCCGCCCGCCTAGAAGCAGACCGGAAGACGCAACTCAACCTCCGTCGCACTGCCACACTGGTCCTCGCATCAAGCGAGGATGCTTTTGTTGCAGAGCTTCCAACCATCATGGACAAGGTCGTGGAGTTGCTTGGGGCCACGGCGACTTCTTCGCCTTCATCGACCACCCGGGCAGAAATCTATATGCTTGTCCGCGCGCTGGTGATCAAGACCAGTGCCATTCATCTGGCCATGATGTGGCCAGTGATTAATGCCGAGCTCCATGCAGCCATCTCGTCAGTCGTGGCTGCTGATCACAGCACAGCATCCGACACTTACAATAACATTTCTGTCCTGCAGGCCTGCAAGCTGCTAGACCTACTCATTTGCGTTGCACCGGACGACTTCCAGCTCCATGAATGGCTCTTTGTCACCGACACAATCGAGGCCGTCTATCGATCCACCAGCTACCAGCCCGTCGCATTGGTTGACGAGCTTGCGGAGGAGCTTGGCACTATGGGCGTCAGCTCATCACTAGGGAGCATTTCAGCATCTCACCTGGCCACAAGCAGCTCAAACAGACGGCCGCTGCTCGGCGTGGGCGGCATCAACGACGAAATTAGCATCGACAGGAAAGACGAGTTGGTGGGCAAGATTCTCCGTCCGTTTTTTGGGCAGCTTAGCATCTTCGCTTTCGAGTCGACATACGCGATGGCACCGTTGGACAGGGAGTTTTGCACCCAGGGGTTGCTGAAGGATTTGTTCGACGAACGTAGTGTGGTCAAGGCGTTGTAAAAGTAGGTAATCGCAGGGTAGAATTATCACAGCATGGGCAAAGAGCCTTGGACTGAATGAACTTCATTGAGATGCCGATTTTGGCGGACTCAGCGTCCCTGGTATGAATGCCACCATGGCCTTGCTCGCCCCTTCCATGCAGTACTGCACCACCTCAAGCTTCTCCCCTTTAGGGGCCAGTTTAGCAATCTGCCTCAGGTCGCTCGTCCTCGGGAGATACAGGGCATGGTCCATGGGCTTGCAGGCGTCGTGCAGCTGCTGCAAGTTGTACGGCTCCATCTGACTGAGGTCAAACACCTCGGCGGTACGGTACCCAGGCCCACCCCACGGAGGGGATGCAAAGATGACGGCCTCGGCCATGTTGATGCGCAGCTCCTCCGATAACGCCTCTGGCGAGTTCTGAAGCTTCTCCAGGTACTCGAAGCAGTCGCCGTGGATCCAGGTGATGTACTCGCCAACTTCGTACAATTCGGCGTTGTGCTGGGCGCACGCCAGGGTCGCGGCGTCGCGCTCGATGGAGATGACGCGATCCCAGCGGGCCGAGAGGGCGAAGGCGATAGTGTTGCCGCCGGCGCCGCCGAATATGTCGATGAGGACGCGCCTGGAGGCGTCGATGTAGTACATCTCGTTGGCGATCTCGTTGGCGAGGGGTTCCGGCGTCACGCCGAACCAGGCGCTGTCGGTGAGCCGAACGCCCTCGTCGTACCAGGAGAAGAGGGAGTAGCGCTGGGAGAAGTATCTGGTGAGGGGATGTTAGTTGGTTGCCGTATGAGAATCACAGTTCCAAGAGGAACGGTAGGCTTACTTCTGGAGATCCCAAGGCACTTCGGCCTTGGACTTGTAGTGGCGGCACTCATCCGTTAGGGGGAGTCTGGTAGCAGCCTTCATTTTGGGGGTGGCGATGCATGAAGCGCGGGACTTATACAAATCTCCTTTTTCCAACGTCGAATCAACGGGTTTCGTTATCTATGGAGATCTCAGTAGTTTTTTCTTCCCCAGTAATACTAAGACAAAGTCACATTTTGGGGCTAACAAGTGTAGCAAACGTCAACGACCATAGTGATGAAAATGAGCATGAACGAGGCTGAGAGAGAAATGATGGAGCTAGAATTGAAGCCCCACTTGGTACCCCCACCAGTGCGGGAGGAAGCTTGGACCCACATGCAAGGCTAACGGGGTACCTTGGATGACAGCTTGCGCCAAAGGGAAACGAACATCTGGAAACACAACTTCGGGGACAAAACTCACCACGACAAAACTCTCAAACTATTTTCTATCTTGACCGGTACCCCTATTTTAGAAAAATCGACTAGCTCGGCAAGACAAGGGTTCGGCTCCAGTGCTGAGCGTGTCACCATGTTCAATGCGCTGAACCGCTTCATGTCCCGCCTGGACGGGCAGCAACCGACCCATCAGAGCAACAACCAGGGGTCCTTTGGCTTCCAGGTATTGCGTAACACCAACCTCGAGCTCTATATTGAGCCGTGGTTTGACTTCATTATTGGTATCAATGGCCGTCCTATTGTATGTGAACCACCTAGTCCCCCTCATACGGGCCCTTGTTCCTTCCGTCGCCACAACATCCACGACTAACACGCGCCCCCCACGCAGGACAACCCCGACCCCCGACTCTTTGCCCAAGAAGTCCGCAACTGCGCCGGCGGTACACTCTCCCTCGGCCTCTGGTCTGCCAAAGGCCAGCGCACGCGCGAGCTGCACGCCTTGGTCCCCGCCGACACCGCCTCCCTCGGCCTCTCCCTGCAATGGACGCCCCTCGCCGTCGCCGCCAATGTTTGGCACGTCCTCGACGTCGCCGCTAACTCGCCCGCCGACTCCGCCGGCCTCCTGCCCTACGGCGACTACATCCTCGGCAGCCCTGAGGGCGCGCTGCACGGCGAGGGCGGGCTAAGCGAGCTTGTAGAGGACCACATCGGCCGCCCCCTGCGGCTGTATGTGTACAACAACGAGTACGACGTCACACGCGAGGTGACGATCCAGCCGAGCCGCGACTGGGGCGGCGAGGGCGCCCTCGGGTGCGTCTTGGGGTATGGCGCGCTGCACAGGTTGCCGCCGCCGCTGAACGAGCCTGTCCATGCGCCGGGGGAGATGATGTTCGATGGGGAGAAGGACCCGGCCGCCTCGTCGTACGGGGCCGCCACTGCCGCAGGAGGCGAGGCGCCGCAGGATCTCTTTGTGCCGGCTGCAGGCGTACCGCCCTCGGGGGGTGATTTCTTGGTGCCCGCGCAGATGGTCGATGCGAGCGGGGCGCCGCCGCCGCCGCCGTCGCTTGGGGGCACGGCGACGGCGAGGAAGAAGAAGGACAGGCATCACGGCGGGAACAATTTCATGGATGACTATTTCAAAGAAGAGGAGAAGAAGAGCAGGGAGGCGGACAACGCGCCGAGCGGGAGAGGGACACCAGTCGCGCCGCCGCCGAAGATGGGTGGTCCGCCGCCGCCGCCGAGAGCGGGCTCCGTGGGGCCGCCCAACGAAGAGAAGCAGGCCGCTGTCGAAGGGGCCGATTGATGTGGAGACAGCGTCGGAAGAGAGACATGCATGGATTATAGAATGGGAACTTTTGGAGTTCGTTGGCATCATGATGATTCCCAGAATTGCATTTTTTTTCCTTCGTCTCCTTCTTGAGATATCTACGTGCTGATGATACAACGCCTGCTTGTATAATGTACATTGGCTTGATTCGTCCCGCGTGCTGCTGCTGCTGCTGCTGCTGCCCATTGGGTTCGGGCATGGCTTCGATAGTGTACCGAACATGTCTAACTCTCTGCATTGTACTCAGGCCTTAACTTGAGAAACCCATCCCTTTTTTTATTCATTTAAACATCGTGCCTGCAACCCCTGAGCGGAGACTTAGTTTATGAAGTTGACGCAGAAGAAGTGAAGGATCAAGCTGCATGCGACGTAATCGGCGAACGCTCTGCGATAGATAGATGTTAGCCACAGTTTTACGTGAATGGTTGGGGAGTTAGGGGATCGAAGTACCTCTCAGGTGATACGGAGGGGAAATCAGACTTGTTGGCCTCGGTGGTCTGGATGCGCAAGGAAGCTGGGAAGCTACTGTTAGCCAGTGGGTATTGAATAGCAGTCGCAATCGGCTTACCAGTGAGGACAAATTGCCCAACGGTAGCAGAGAAGCCAGAGAGGAAGGCGTTGAAAGGCTGTTTCATATCGTTGTTAGCGATTTGTTCGTGTGCAAAGTCTCCCGTCCTCAGTGCCGCAGTCAAACTCCTTCCATGGTCTCCTTTCCAGGAACAGGCCCACACACCACATAGAATCATACAAAGAAAAGAAGAAAAAAACGTACAAAGTTGCCAGCAATAACGCAGTACAAGAATTGCAGCCCACCAACAACAACCAGGAAGGCCATGAAGGCGTCAATCAGCTTTGTGCGTTGCGGCGTGTTCTTGACGTAGTGGTTGTAGATGTTAGTGAGGACCTGGTCCCAGTTCTGGGCGCCGGAAGACACGCCCTTGGGGCCGGCCTTGGGCTGCGAGGTCATGGTGCCTGGGATCGCCGCGGCGGCAGTCGGTCCTGCGGGCGAGGAGGGGAGGTGGGCGGGTTCAGAGGCAGCGGCGGCTGCTCTTTGGGAAGAGACGCTGCGTTTGGGGGCCATTTTGGTATTATTTTTTGGTCCGGTTCGTCGTTCGATTGCGAATGAGGTAGGTGTGATTCAAAGAGTCGGCAAAGCTCGAAGAATTGGAGGGTACTGGTGGAACAAAAGTTGAGGGGAGATGCTCGAGATGTTCGCTAGGATGCGCAGCCGATACTGCTGCTGCGCAGTGCTTAGAGCTGGAAGCTCTGGAGGACACGAAAGCTTGAAGCCACATCCCGTCAGGTGATGTGGCTGGTGCCACACTTGGAAGGGACCACTCCAAAGCCACAAATCTGGGGTAGCATGGTTTCTGGTCCTTGGCTTATTGGGCCCCTGCGTCCTCGAGATTAGTGATTAGTCAGATACGGAAATGAATGAGATCATTCAGCTGTCGTTTCGTTGATGGGTGGGATGTGGTGGACGTGCCGAAGCTCGGACTTCCCGAGGCACCGAACCTATTGAACCTACCGACCTAGGTCTACTTCTATCGCATTCTTTCGTTACAATTCTACTACCCAATTGTCATCTATTCCAGCTCTGAAAGACCGCATTCCTTGCCGGATCAACTCTTTCTACAATATATCTCAGTATGGTATGGTAGTGTAACTCGTTTTGGTATTGAAAGTGGAAGACGAAGCTGACAATGACACCTATGCGCAGTCTTCAGACCTCTCTGTCCCCTCCTTCGCCCTGGGCGCGTTGACTGCCACCGGCGGCATCATTGGCTACGCCCGGACTCGCTCTGTCCCGTCTATCGTCGCCGGAGTCAGCGTTGGTCTTCTCTGTATGTAGCAATTGCCCCTCAGTTTCCCTCCCGTCTTTTTTGTCTTGCCCTTTCGCGCCCCAATTGTAGACGTCCCAACTGACCACAACCAACTCCGTGCAGATGGCCTCGGTGGCTACCGCATCCAGAACGGCGAGCCTTACGGTGTCGAGCTCAGCCTACTCGCATCTGCCGTCCTCGGCGGCTCCGCTGTTCCCCGCGCTCTCCGTCTCCGCAAGCCCGTGCCGATCCTGCTCAGTGTCTTGTCCCTCTTTGGCTTGTACACCTTTGGTAACGAGTTCCGTCGCACCTTGTAAAGAGGCATAAAGGGATAAAGAAGAGTGGCTGTACGATTCGTCGAAGCGATGAAGTTGTGATATCAACCTAGTGTCGGGCAAATGAACAAAGCTGAAATATTGGGGGTTTCCCCCTTTCGCCATTTAAATTGGATGTCGATTCGCGCCCCTTATGTTATGGTACATCCCTGATCCATTGTAGAACGCCTCCAATATGTTGTGCTTGTACGTTTTTCTGGTATTTTGCCCGCCCCGTGCCGTCACCCAGATTCGATCAAAGTCGGGAGCGTTCGTAATATAGTACAATGCCAAATCAATCTCTATCCCGTCGTATGTCGCCATTCGTCTCGTAGAAGGAGCTTTCGTTATAATCCGGAGAAATTTTGAGACGTCTGGCAGCCTAGTCGAGACCGAGCGACTTGTTGAGCTCTTTTATCCGGTTCTCGCGTTCCTCGCGCTTCGCCTTCGCTGCGGCTCGGTTCGCCGCAGTACGGCTTGCACGCGCACCGCGGAGGCACTCGCTGACTTTGTTCTTTGCGTCGTTGCACCCGCCCAGAGACTTGAACAAGAAGCCCTTTGCGTGGCACTCTTCAAGAGCGACCATAATGTCTTCGCACTCTGTTTGAGGACGGACTTGTTAGTGCTCATATTTGCAGGTCGAGCAGGGGTGGTGGCGATCAATGCGCGGATGCTGATTGAGTTGATGGGTAACTGACCGAAGTTGTCTTTGGTATGCAGATGGGGATGCATCTTGAGTAGGGCCTCTAAAGAGTCTGTGGAATCGCAGGCCTGGGAAAGATTTATTTCGTCGTTGGGCAGAAGCGCAAAAAGATGCCAAGGTTCAAAGGGTCAAATGCGCTACAAGGCATTGGATAATTGGATAAGACTACTCAGTGGGAGGAAGGACGCCCTGTGCGTTTGACGCGGCAAAAGCTCGGGCCACATGCTGGCAAGCCGCCTTCTAGAACTTGCCTCTGTTGGCCACTGATCGGAGGGCTATCACACTGGAGCCTTGTGCTTATTGTCCTTCACACAGCCGGGCCGTCTTGATCTTCTCAAGACTTCATCAAGTCCCACCAACGGCATTCTCGACTCGACATCGACACGAGATCTGCACCCACAATGTCGGCGCAGGTAGCTAACCAGCGGAAGCAGCAAGGTCAGTCCTCACCCAGCAAGCCGAACGTGGAAGCACAGAGTTTGACACCACATGAGATCAACATCAACCCCGCCATATCTCTCAGGCATAACTCGTACTAAATCGTCTTTAGATCTGCAAACTCAGTATGGCATCTACAAGAACACCCTGCAGCAGATTGCGCAGAAAATCGGCGACGTTGAGCAGGAAGCCGAAGAACACAAGTGCGTCTCTTATATCTGTGTAACTTCATCAACGTTCCCCCTATCGTCGGCATAGTTGCGAGTGAGAAGTGCCCATCCATGCTTTTGGGAACTGCGGACTCTGCGCTCATCGTGGGGAGGGGGGAGCACGATAGGTTTCTGTTCTCTCTCCGCCGCCGGACTTATCCCTGGGCCAGTTCGCTCATCACACCGCTCTTCACTCACTTCGACACTAAAAACCTAATCGACCCCACCGTCCATTGTAGTATGTCACTGACTAGTTACCGTCACCTGAACAGGCTTGTAATGGAGACGTTACAGCCGCTGTCCGGGGATCGAAAATGCTTCCGCCTGATCAACGGGGTCTTGATGGAGCAGACGGTCAAGGACGTCATGCCCGCCCTTACGACAAACTCTGAAGGTCTGAAGAAGGTTCTCGAGGACCTTGTCAAGCAGTACAAGGCCAAGCAGGACGAGCTGGAAAATTGGAAGGTTCGTTATATGGAGCCCTCGCCCCTATTTCGGCATTAGTATATACGTCATTGAGGGGTCAAGTTTGCTAACGGATTTGGATTACAGAAGAAGAACAACGTCCAGGTTGTGCAAAACTGAGGGGTTAGAAAGACTTGTTCTTGGATGTGGACTTGTGGAGCGAACGTGACTCTGCGCTTGCCCCTACGTCTGCGATAACGTTCTCAGATTTGCCCTTCGCTCGAGCCCGAGTCGGCGGGGGTATCGGGTCGCGGAAAGTATGCTGCCCGCCGTGTTCAGCCCCCCGCGTTTACGGCGCCCCAACGCGATATAGATCGGTTGGCACACGAGACTTCTGAGGACGCCACAGTGACTTCAGCGTTTGAAAACAAGGCGGCGTCACGTATACCCATGGGTGAGGTAGTAAAAACATAAGGATAGCTCAGCAATGCGCCCAGCAACAACGGCCATGTTGATGGTGTAGTGTTAGTAAAAGCAATGCGTTGTTCCACGCCGTTCACAGAATGGTAATTTAACAGGAAGCAATGGAAGCCAGCGGCAACGGCCCCTCAGTGCGCAACAATATCCATGGTGCGAGTCGTGAACCGGCACTCCACACGGAAAGCGACGGCAGGTTTGGCGGCTCAGATGGCTGGCTGAGATAGCTCCGGTTGACGAGGCGTGCTTACTGGCTGCTTGTTATGCGACCCAGTGACGAAAGGTACGAGAACTGCGGCCTCTGGCAACGGCCAAGCAAGCCTCCCTCTAACCAACGGTGCCCAGGATCGTCAGACGGGTATACACCGGTCAATTCCGCCTTCCTTTCGGGAAGGGGGAGAGAGAGAGCATGCGGGGCGGAGGCGGCCCGGATCGTCTGGCCATCGACAGGTTGGCGCCCGTCAACACGTCTCATACGCATCTGCGGGGGCCGATCGAGCTTGTCTGTTCGTGAGGAGAGCAGTGGCATCCGATTTGTGGTCAAGAAATGCCTGAAACAAGACACATGAGAAGATCGACTGATGCTGTCCTGAGCAGTAGCACAGGCGTGACATCAAGCATGCTTCAGCACCGCAGCTGGTGCCCAATCTGCGTGGTGCTTTCCACGTCTTGGATGTGGTCGCCTACAGGCCAGATGTGGGAGGCATCCCACAGTCAGCACTCGCCTCGCTGTTCCAAAGCACCTCTTTAGTTCCATGCATCATGTACGAATAAGTACGAAACCATAATGTAGTATGCGGGTGGGTGGCATCATGGGCTGCCTATTATGGCCCGAGTCGCAGGTAAGCGAGTGGAGTGGTGGCTGATATGCCGCATGCGCCCAGCAGTCCTTGTGATGCCGAGAACGTGTCTTGGTAGCGAGGTCTCCAAAACTCGTTTCTTGTGACGATGATGCCGAGCAGTCATTGTCCGATGGCCAGCGGCAAGACCAAACCAGTACATTCGGCGAGGTTGTCGTCGACTAGGGTCGAGGAAAGGATGTGGCTCTGAGTTGTCAGTGGCTCCCCAAGACAAGAGAAGCGCAGCCAGCGCATGCAACCCTTACGCATTTGGCACAAATGGCGTCGGAATCGCGAGCAGCGCGCCCCTCACGACGAGAATTAGGAAGGAGGGGTAGGAACCGCCTCACCCGGACCAGGTTTGTCAATATGGGAGGAAAAGGCCGGCGCCACATGGGATAAAGTGGTGCTTCTGATGCAGCAGGCGCCGTCCAATCCGAGCCCAACCCAGTTAGAGGGTTATTGGCTCCCGACTGTGAAGAAGGAGCCCAACGACAATGGAAGTGACTAATAACTGGGCCGACGGATGTCTGTCACAGTCCTGCATGCAGGGTCAAACACAAGGCGATAGATAGGCTGCCGATTGGTGACTGGTGTTCCGCTCGACACATTGGCAGAATTTCTCCGCGCTGTTTTAGCTGAGAAGAAACGACCAGATGAAGGGCGAGTGACGCGCCCCGGGATTTTTTGTGCCAATCAAGAAAACAAGACATTTCTTGACTTTTGTGCCATTGGCCTAGGAAAGTCGAGTTGGCCTTGTGTGTTACGCAGCCTTGTGCCCAAAGCTCCTTGGACAGTCCATTCAAGAGCTCACATCGATGGCGAATGTGCCTGAAGAGGCAAGTAGCGCTTTGCAAGCCGACCCGGCCCATGTTTCAGCCCAAACGAGTCACCAGTCGGGGCGCTTGCTTAGGCTGCCGTCAGCCAGCCTTCTCGTGCCTGATGAAGCGGGTTAGGTTGAGGGCGGTGCCGAGAAAGACAGGTGACAGGTTCGGCGGCTTGTTTACTCAAGACGGTGCCATTGTCAAATCAACCGTCTGGGTCGCCCTCCCATCTGGCCTTGCCGTCACGTCCAAGCTACCCCAATTACCAAAACTCGCACGGCCGAGAACGACGTCGAAGGAGCAATCTGTATTTGTCCGGCCGCATTGCTTCGTCAACAACGCCCGTCGGGCGTGATGGAGGTGTTGGGCGACAACCGTCCCTCTTCCATCTTCTCATCAGCGTATCTGTACAGGATCGAGACTCAGGTCACCGTCTCGTTTCGTCGCTTGTGCCACTTGCTTGCACTGTTTAGCGTCCGCCATGCGCCGGTGAAGAGCAAGGCAGCCGTGCTTGATACCCTCCTCCGAACTTAGTTAGTGGCTTCGTGCAGCTCACACCGCTCATACACGGGAAGCATGGGCACTGTTCCGTGTTGATACAGTACAGCATGAAGTGCATGCAATGGCACCCCATACTCTGTTAAGCGGGAGCGGAGGGAGAGGAGGAAGGATGCGGGAAGAAGAAGAAGAGTTGTTAGGAAATACCGTCAGACGCCCAAACTGATGGCCGGTGGGCATCCGAGCGTGCAAAATAGAGTAGAATACGAAAAGGCAGCCCCAGTTGCGAGTGCATCTCTTCAGCCGCGTCTCTTGAAAGTTGGAGGGAGGATGACCGGACGATGAAGGGGGTTGGAGGTACCGCCCTCGATACTGGAAGCTGACAGGTACTTTGGCTCTACGCGGTGAAACGCCTGCCGATGAGGTACCGACCCCGTTATCGATAAAATGGCAGGCGTAAAGCGCGACTTTGAGCGACTTTGGCCTTGTTATTGTGTTTAATGCGCCAGCTTCTTGTTGACCGCACCTTCTTTGCCCGCTTTCCCTCCGTTTCTCCCTTCTGCACCAACCCCACGTTTCTTGCAGCCATCAACAAGTACAGGTGCATCCTCCAAACAAGGCGCATTGTTAGGCTCTATTGCGACCTCGATCGAACAACTCAGACACCCATAAACTGGTAAGTCAAATCGGATAGGCCCTTGTCAACGGCACTTGCTCTGGCCCCTCTTCGTGTTTCCCCCCAATTCCGTCCATACACATTCGCGCGCGCGCGCGCGCGCGTGTGTGTTGAGTGTGCCTTCACTGCTCTCGCCCTCCTCGCCCACGCCCCCAACCCCAGCCCCCCCGCCTCTATCTTTCTTCCTCTGTGTCCCGTTCAGGCCAAGTGAAGCTTTCTCTGACGTACCTTTGCAGCTGTTACGCCTTGATTTCCCTATCACGGCTTTCCCGTCCGACCGGTGTGTAACCACGGGTCAACCTCTCGGCCAGCCCAAAGCTCAGCCAAAGTTACGAAGGCTCGCCCATCCGTACTGTGCCCGCGCACCGCTTCGACGCAGCGCTCCGCAGCTCCGCCGACAAGTACTTCCATCCGCCTCGGAGCTACTTGATTTGACCTGACACTTCCTCGCCCACCGCCCCCATCTCGACTCGTCAGCTTGGTCTATCTTCCATCCTACAGGTCAACCCGCGCCGAGCATCGAGTACCAACCCGAAGGAGCGCGCATACCCACAGCTGCAACAGGGCGATCAAGAAGCACCTTGGCCAGGTCGACGCTACCCTCTCCTCGGGCTATAGGTTGGCCATTCGTGTGGGACCCGCAAACGTAGCCACCCTCTTTCTGCTTTTTCCCGGTCTCTGTCTCAACTCTCCTCGGGCAAGGGCATCGTACAGGCCACCCCAGGAAGATCCGTCATAGCCTGAAGTCAAGACAGGGCCTGCCAGGGGATCGCGAGTAAAAATAATCCATCTCAGGACAACCCGAGCAGCCCACGGCAGGATTGACGCACACTCCTGCAGCTAAGCCGCGATACTTGCAAGCCCTACGGACCTGCAACGTGTCAGGGACACATCATTCCAAACCCGCCGTGTGTGCGAGCTGCAAGAGCCCAAGCAAATTACAATAACGCCAGCAGCCGCTGCAGGTAGCCAAATATGTCGGACTCCCCCCAATCTCCTCCCAAGGATGTCGACCAAGGTGTACAATCACCGGAAGAGGAACAAATGAACGAGCCTCAAGACCCACAGTCCGGCGGGCTCACCTATGAGTTCGAAGTTAAGGAGCAGGACCGCTGGTTGCCCATAGCCAATGGTAAGCCGTATTCCCCTTCCTCCGCAACGACGAGACGACGACGACGATGATGATTTGGACTGTTGCTCTGTGCGCTCTGGCCATTCTTATGACGGTGACCCGTGGACTGGATTGGTATGTTTGCTGGTTTGCTCGCTTGTTCACATCTCCGCTTGCCATCCGCTTCTTTCTGCCGTCCGCTGCTGTTGGCCTTGGTCAGTCGCAGTTTCCGGAGGAGCAAGCGGCAACGGTGCTCGTTCAAGTTGTCAATGTCTCAAGATCTGTTGCCGCAATCGCCAGAAGCAGACGGTGCTTCTGGTGGGGAGAAGTTTGATGAACTCGACGCTAATATACGTAACTTTGCTCCAGTGGCCCGCATCATGAAGAATGCTCTGCCAGAGAACGCCAAGATTGCCAAAGAAGCCAAAGAATGCATGCAAGAATGCGTCAGCGAGTTTATCTCATTCATCACAAGCGAAGGTAAGCTATATCTTCCGAAGCCAATTCTACGGGCCGAAGGGCGATTTTGCAGATAATAGACCTAACCTATCACAGCTTCGGAGAAGTGCCACCAGGAGAAGCGAAAGACGGTGAACGGAGAAGACATCCTATTTGCTATGACTTCACTGGGATTTGAGAACTACGCAGAAGCTCTCAAGATCTACCTCTCCAAGTACCGAGAAGTGCGTATAACCTAAGGTTGTCAGGGACATGGAGCTATATCGTCCTCGTGATACAGCGGATGGGCTAAACTGACAGACGCAGCAGCAATCACAGTCAAACAGAGGAGAGGGAGCGCACCGCCCTAGCAGTAGCGGCTACGGCGCCAACCCTCCAACCGGAGCTGGAAGCTTCCAGGCCGAGCCCCAGAACAACGTGCTTGGAGGTCAGCAGGCAGATGGAAGCGCCGACGCCCAGGGCTATATGTACGGCGCACAAACCAGTCACAATGGCACTGGTGGCGGCGACGGCTACCAGTGAACAGCTCGATCGCTGTTTGGATAGTGCGGGTACGCAAGGACAAAGTTTCTACTCGACATATATGTACTGGCCGCGGCTTGACGGTTCAACAGCAGACTACGCCTGGGCGCGAACTGGAGTTTGTATAAGTACGAGGACCCGCTCTTTGGATTTGACGAGGCATACGGGTTGTACATGAGGGCCTCAGGAAACAAGTATGGTGAGAAGGGGAGCAGAAAGGGTTACCCAAAAGTGTGGGCTGGAAGGGTTGTTCAAGTTTTCGTTTCTTCCGACCCATCGTCCATTCGATAGATTCCCCCTCTATGGCGTTACAATTCAGTCAGCCATGCCGGGCCCATGAGCGGCCATAAGGCATTGGAAAAGAGCAGTTAACAAGCATCGAAGCTTTTTGGATAGGACCCAGTCCGTATATCCAGAGCACAGGTAGCTACAGCACTTTTTGATAGCTTCTAATCTATTTCCGTCGCGCAGCGTTTCGATATATCCTTGAACAAAGCTTTCTTGTGGCTCTTATCACGTTATTAGAACCGCGACTCAATGCTGCGTATCACTTACCAGCAGGCAGCGAGGGGGCATTGCATCAGTCATATAATGATAATCGTGTGAAGAAGGCAACGGTCACGATGTCACATTGCCTCCTATTAGCCTAGCATCTTCTTGGCCGCCACTTCAAGTCCATTGGAATGGTGCACGGTTCAGGGCCTCTTCAGGGGGTCATAAGGCACGTGCGCAGCCCCTCCCCAAAATTTTGACCGGCGGGTGAAAGCCGCCCACTCCCAGAAAAAAAGCATCTGCAGCCTCATTCCTAGGCAACCAACTGCCGCACAACGAAACAATTCGGCCGGCCTACACAACCACGACTCCAACTCAATTAGTTACTCGAGGGCAAGGACTTCCACTCGAGACCTAACTGACGCAAGATAACGAGGCATGCGGGATATGTTTCTGCACATCCTCGCGTAACACATCTATCAGTCCATGAGAATAGCCAGACGCCCAGTCTCGATCTGAATTCCAACCCCCGCCGACAGAGTAGAGACCCGAGAGCCTTGACCATCAGGCGCTACCATTCCCATGCGACCCTTCACCCCAATTTCCAGACATCGGTCTGGTCCGCCGCCGAGAACAGCAACGCCAGTAAAAAGCATTCTGCGGCAAACGTCTACAGTCCTTGGCCGAAGGAAAGCCGATGAACTTGACTTTGATGCAGCCGACCCCCCTTCTAGCCCGACTAAGAGGCGGAAAGTCCTCATCAACGAAATGAACAACCGCGTCTTCGAGTTTGGCGGCGGCGATTCCATGGACGAGGTGAACTCGGAAGTCCGGAAAGCGCTGGAAGAGCACCTGATGGGGGAGGATGAAGATTACGACGTCCTCAAGGAGAAATTCACCAACGACAAGCGGCGATACTTGCCGCCCGTCGCCGGAGAGGAGGAGGACACCCTCAAACCCCATGAACTGAAAGGCTACGTGCTGGCACTGACCAGCTGCGTCCCGCTTTTAAAGAACAAGGCCTGCAATGGCCTCGTGAGGGAAGTGCTGCAGGTCTCATGGTTGGGCCGAGACGAGGATTTCTTCAAAGTTTACATCCAATTTCTGGCCGCCCTGGTTAGCGCACAGGGATCCTACCTGACGCATGTGCTCTCTATGATCGTCGAGAAGTTCTCCCAGTCCAGGCAGTCTGAATGGAGCGTCAGCGACTTCCCTCCTGTCAACCGTGTAACGATGCGTGAGCGGCTGCACACCGGCCTGCAATACATCCTCCAAATGTTCCCAGCCGCCACCCCAGTTCTCCGCAATCTCCTCGATACCAAGTTCCCCTTCGACGACGACCCTAAGAGAATGTTTGTCGCCTACGTCAATAATCTTTTGAGGCTGAAAGAATACGCGGGGGAGCTGGATCTCGACATTATCGATGTTCTGCTGTCGCGGCTGGTCAAGATCGACGTGCAGATGCAGACGGACCTTGACGACCTTGATGATGATCTGACGGCATCCGTTGCCTACGCGCTTGGAAAGTCCTTGGGCACCGGCTCGTGGGAGGGCGATGAAGATGCCGTGGACAAGGACAGCGACGAAGAGTCGGTCGAAAGCGATGATTCGGATTTCGACGATCAGGAAGAGAAGATCCGCATTGTTAAGGGCAACGTGGAAAAGCTGGACGCCATTCTTGATACATTATTCGACCACTATACCCCGCTATTCGAGAACCCCGACTCGGACAAGGCGTGGGAGCAATACGCTTTGCTTGTGCAGTCTTTTGGAAAGATCGTGCTGCCGACCTACAAGTCTCGTCATACCCAATTCCTGCTCTTCCACTTCGGCCAGATGTCAGCCCGGCTGCGAGATACCTTCGTCGGCAGTTTGATGCACATCTTTGGCTCGCAAAACCGGCCAAGCTTTGTTCGACAGGCAGCGGCGACCTACCTGGCTGGGTTCATGGCGCGAGGCGCTCATGTTCCGTCTGACCTGGTGCGGACCGTCTTTGCTCTTCTGCTCAAGCAGATGCAGATCTACCGCGTCAAGCACGATCCCGACGCCAGAGGACCGGATTTACGAAGGCACCAGATCTACTATGCTCAGGTTCAAGCCGCACTCTACATGTTCTGCTTCCGCTGGCGCGACCTGATTGTGTCTGCGCCCGAATTCGTGGACCGCGACGACCCTGCGTCATACCTGGGCCACGAGCTGGAGTGGATGCAAGGGATGAGAGAAGAATTATCGGCCAGCGTATACTGCAAGATGAACCCTCTCAAGATCTGCGCACCCGCAATCGTCGAGGAGTTTGCGACACTAGCGCACAAGCTTGGCCTAATGTACATCTTTCCTCGCGTGGAAGAAAACAAGCGGATTAGACTGTCCCAGTTTGTGTCAGATACATATGGTACAGGCGGTGCCCTCAGAGATACAGGCTCTGGAGCCCAGGATGAGGAGGCATACCAGCTCGATCCCTACTTCCCCTTCGATCCCTACCAGCTGCCCGTGAGCAAGCGGTGGGTTCAGGAAGACTATGTACACTACCAGGCTGTTCCAGGCCTCAACATGACAGCGGATAGCGACAGCGACGAGGACGACGAGGACAACATCCCGGAGACGGATGTCGAGGAAGACACCGCCACCGCCAGCGAGGACGAGGACGACGAATGAAGGGTGGCAATGGAGGAGGAACGGGTCAAAATGCATTATCACGGCGTTGGACGGTCACCAAAAAAAAAAAGCGAAACCTGGGCCAATTTGGCATTGAGGATATGATTCCCGCGAGGCGTTGGGCGTGACAAAGAAAAAATTCAGAGCTATGTTGGAAGGACGAAATATGAAAGTGGCGATCATGTCGAAGAAGCAACGTCCTAGTTCAGCCCCTTTCCCGAGGCTTTGAGAAGATGTCACGAAATAGCTGTCGTCGTAGCGAGGACGACCGTATCTCGCATTGCAGTATGAAGAAACAAGGTCATTCCTAACAGTTATGTATGCCCCGACGCGACGCGCGTTAGCGTTATTCAGCCGAGCCTCGATTCCGTGCTTGTCAATATTATGCCGGTGGCAGCTCTCTTTTAAAATATCTGAATAGAGACGGAATGGATGGATATCTTGAATCGTAGATATAATCTTACTAATGCGTTACCAACTTGTTGTCTGTCAGCACGAGTCAATGGGCAGAGCTTGGTGTGTCTACACTTCCTTGATCTGGATAAGCGTCACACACGCTCTCCCCCTCCTCATCTTCTCTATCCTCTCTTCCCTCCTATTTGCAACACCCAACAAACGGCCCCCAAAAAAGGCCCCTTAGGAACTCTGAGGCCTGGCCAGCATTTCCTGAGCTGCTCAGCCGCTCGTGGGGAGAACGAGGGGCCTTGGGCGGATTTTTCCGAGAAAAAAAATCGTCAGTTCTAGAGGACAGCAAAACCGGACGAACTGCCTCGGCACGCTGAACTCAAAACAAGGTGATACATTTATACACACGACCTTGCATCCACAATATACCTCATTTTCCACCTCACTCCATCGACTTCCTATCTGGTTGAGAGGCATAATTACATTTCACCGTGGCCTTTTTTTGCAGTAAGCAGTCATGGAGGACCATCATGCTGCTTCGTCGATGGCGGGAGAGGGGAAACATCAGCAACACCACCACCAACATCAACAGCATCAGCGACCGCAACAGCCGGATAGGGAAAGTGGCGGTAACAGCCGGCCATCCTTTACGGAGTACTGGATGGCAGAGAAGCAGAGCGAGAGTGCGGGAAGGATGCAATTTGTGAACGAGGGACTGGCGCTGCCCCGTCAGCTACAGCATCGATCGTCGCCGTCGTCGTCGTCGTCGCCTTCGGCCATTGAGCCCTCCCCCACAAAGAATGCGGGTGATGATGACGAGCGGCAGGATTCGTGTGAGTTCGAGGCTCTCTTTGTCTCTTTTCCCCTGCTCATCGTCCCCCGTCAGTTTCACTTCCGTTGCCACTTTATCCGCTCACTTGGCGCATATGCATCATCTACCCATGCCGTCCATCGTGATTGCATGCACCTGTTTTGCTTCGTCCTGCTTGTTTCTCCCTTCCCTTGCGCTGTTGTGGCTCCCCGATTGGCAAGTGTCCTAGTCTTAGCCAGAGCCCTCTGACTTACGGTGTGAAAATTGCCATCATGAGCAGTAAAAGCTTTTGTTTTTTTCTTTCGGATCTGCCAAAATTATACATGTCTCGTCAAAATAAAGCCCCGGTAAGGAGAAGGACGGGACACATGCCCGATTTGTCACTGTGGGCACGAATGATTCCTCATCATCATTTAACTTGACCGCACACGCACACCCCTCCAAAGCTGCGTCATCCCGTCGCTAGGTCCGAGTGGGTGTGGTACCTACTGATTCGAGCTTGTGGTCTGGTGCCGGCGCGACACCACACACGGTTCGACTGGCGCCCGAGTGACGGGACGAACTGTATTGCTTCGCCGCGTATCCTCCCGCATGATTCCAACGTCGTTCCCCGGTCTTTTTATTTTTCTTTTAGACTTTCCCAATGAGGTGCACACTGCTGGCTATCCGCAGATCACCAAGCTAAATCGGGCCGGCTGTTTGGAATCAGCCTTCCTCTGTTCGGAGCTCTGACTTTGACTCCATGTCCTCGACCTGTCCATGGCTTGTTGACTGAGCCAGGCGTTCATGTCAGCTATGATTCTCACACATCATATATCTTGCAGTGTCCCGCTTACTCTCTCTCCTCATGAGTGCCCACCAGCCTCGTCCTTCGTCTACATCCGCACACCGTCCTACAAATTCGACTAACACCCTCATCAGCTGAGCCTAAAGACAACTTTACAGCCGCGGAAAAGGCCAAGCTCCGACGCCAGCAAGTCCGTAAGGCACAGATACAACACCGCACGCGCAAAGCCAACTACATCAAGCAGCTCGAGCTCGACGTATGCCACTTCAGGGACATGATCGCTGCCGCCGAGAAGGAGGTCATCGCCTTCCGCAGACAAAACGGGAGTATGCAGGACGCTTTGGCGGCCCGAGGTCTTGTCGTGCCTCAGGAGCTCAAGGGCAAGGAAGTCGTTGTCCACGAGGCTCGAGTTATGGGTTCTCCAAAGCCCGTGGAGGTGGCGCAGCCGGTAGCTGTGCAGCAGCATGCTCATTTTCAAGATCCAGAACAGCGTCAGTTTACGCCACAAATGTCAGCGCCGCCTATTATCCAGCAACAGCTTCCGGTCGCAGATCCAGAACAGCAGATGACATTTCAGCCTCAAGTCGCCAACGACAGCTACGAGTACGATCCCTACCCGCCGGTAGACCTCTTCGCAGACATTGGGATGGGCGAAGTCATTGTGACGATGCGCAAGGACGACGCCCTCGGCACACCGTGCTTCCAAATCGCCTCGTCGTCGCCGACCGTCTTTCACTCGCCGGCACCAGACCAGCTCACCCCGGAACAGGAGATCACCGCCATCAATCTGATCCTCGCGTGAGTTATACTCTCTGAGCCCCTTTCCTTGACCATGGAGGAGAACACAAAAGACTGATTGGCAAGACAGCATGGAGCATATTTGCTGGAATCACTTCCACCCCCGCCAGTTCCCCAGTCACGCCGACCCCTGCAGCGCCGCCTCGGGCCACACAATGATGGCCTCGACCATGTGCATGTCCAGCGCGCCCATGCGGGTCCACCGCAGCATCCGCCGCGGCGAAGCCGAGATCACGACGCACACGTGGCGCGCCGACACGGGCGCCGGGTCCGCGCTGTCGCTGAAGTCGCTGCTGGCGCTCGCCAAGACGCTGAACCCAGGCGATATCGAGCTGACGCCCGTGCAGGCATGGTTCGAGCTGGCGGCGCGGTACGGCGCCGCGGCGCTCATGCGGGACAACGTCATCGAGGCGCTCAAGAGAGAGTTCTGCGGCGTCGTGGACTGCATCCACTTCGGTGCCATCATCGAGCGGGACGCGTTCGAGAGCGTGGTCGCGAGGGTCATGGAGCAGGTCGGGGTCAGCGAGCTCGAATGGGGGATAGACCTCGACAGCGAGGAGGCAGGGTTCGATATGGTCGCTGGGGCGCAGGGTATTTCTGCTTGATCCCTCCAATATGGGAAAAGGTAAGGGTCTAGTCATTAGAAGGCGGATGCCGTGAAAAGGGAAGAAGAAGAGGGAAAAAGAAAGAAAAAAGGGGGGGGGCTAATGAAGGACTGCCCGCATATCTAATCATGGGAGGGATGGGACAGCACAAAGGAGGATGGAAGCCGCTGTAGATACAAGCACCCAGATTGAAGAGCTCATGAGGAGAGCTTTTACCAGTTTCACTTGACTGGCACATGTGCTGGACAACCCCAACGATAGAAGGCCAGGCGAAGCCTTCCAGTCGTCCCTGCAGAGACCTCATTGAGAACCCAACGAGATGGACATTGCCCTTCCTGCCTGACTGTCTAAAAGCAGTGAAGTGAGTAAGCTTTCTTGGGAAGCGCTAGAAGCGAAGTTGGAGGCGGGACGTGAGCCGCATTCCCAATTGGCCATGTTCGAGACGGGAACGCTAGATCGCGGAAAAGGGGGGCTCCGTCTGCAATGCATGTGGAATCAATTCTTCCTCCATTTTTGATTGTTCTTTTCCTTTTCCCCCTGACTGGTCTACGAGAGTAGTGACGTAAATGTACGTTGTATTGTGCGTTTTGTCTTGCATACACCCACACGTCCGCGTACATGCTGGTCCTTTAGATTGATCGCCTCCCAGTTCGTCTCGCCACAAACCACGTCGAGGCTGATACAAGACCGCCTTCTCAGACATGTGTGTGTGTGTGGGGGGGGGGCTGGTTTTTCGAGGAATTGTGAGAACTCAAAGGCGTCGGGTGATCTTGTGTGTCCCAGCTAGAGAAGGAGACAGTCTCTATGGTAGAACATGGGTCCTATGGCGGCGACGGGGGAAGTATCGCGGCAAGCCTCTACTAGTTACGTAGATCTGCTCCATTGATCAAGTCGTTAGACCATCTCGGTCGGGTTGTATCATTTCACAAGGCTCGTCAGACAAGGGATATATCACATATCTATTCAGGAACTAATCTGTCAATCTCTATCGGCACCGACAAGGGAAACCTCTGCGGTATACAAACGTCCTCGCTGCCATATCTGTAAATAGAAAAGGGCTTTAACTTTAGCAATCCCCCGCCCGGGCCCCTGGAACTTGTATCTACGTGACAAGAAGTACTGCCCAGCTTCTGAATCTTCATGGAGACATAGAAGAGGGTGCGTGGGTGACCGCTGGTGGGTGGGTTGCCCCTTATGTAGCTAGCCTGCCCTCTGGTCGTCCACATGACCGAGCATCTGATAGTTGGGCCCGCTAGCCAGGTGGCCGATTGTCTTTGGCCGAAGAGACTTTGGTGATCGAAAAAATGTAAAAGGGCTGGGATATATATTGGGGGTTGGAGGGTCTTTTAGTATCTGAAGTTTACGCAGTCTCAGCACTTTGCAAACAGCCAATATTGCCGTGGAAGGCAACGTCCCCATACTTGCCAAGGGAACGAGGTTATCGAGTATGATCTATTGATTCCCGTCAATAATACGGGAAGCTTCGGTGTTCGAAAGCGCTGAAACCGTGGCATCAGATACATAGAGCTCTCTACTGGGTTGACTCAGAGCCTGGGTTCCCACGGGGAAGAGGTATCTATCAAGAAGCACAACGAGAAAATCGCAGAGTCCTCGAGTGGTGTCATAAGGTGTCACATACAAAAACACGCTGTGCTTGAAAGCATGTCATATTGATAAAAAATTACCGGGTGCGTTAATTCAGGGGGGTATCATAATTCAAACATGGTCGAGCCTCGACAGCCTCCGCTCCTCCTCGTGGTGCCTCTGATAAACCTTACTCATCTCCTCCAGATCCCTCTCGTGTTCTACTCCCTGCCCGACGCTGCCGGTGACATGGATACCGACGAACGGCTCTGCCTCGATCCTCGAAACCATCTTCCCGTCTTTCAGGAATAGCGCCGGGTGGCACCCCACGATAGCCAGCAGCGCGTACCCGACGAGGAAGCCCTCCAGCCCGACAAAGAGGCCCTCGCCGCCCGTCGCGAGGGGGCCGCCCCAACCCTCGGCATACTCGGCAACGCGAAAGCACAGCCGCCCGAAGAGGACTAGCATGGCGGAGGGGACGGCGCCGGCGAAGATGCGGAAGCGGCCCGTCAGGGGCACGTAGCCGACATCGCGGTGGAAGGTAGTGTAGCCGTATCGGTGGTGGGCGCGGGCGGCGCGCAGGAGCACCGAGGCGAGGAAGAGGCTCGCCGCCACCAGGGTCGCGAGCTGCAGGGCCAGACCGGCCAGGACAATCCTGGCGCCGGTGGCGTCGGGGGCGTACGAGTCCCCGGAGGCGAGGGCGTACGGGACGTTTTGGAAGCCGACGGCTAGGCCGGCAACCTGGAGGAGGAGGGCGAGGCCATCTAGCGGTAGGAGGACGACGGTGTAGAGCTCGGGCTTGACGAAAGAGTGCTCCGTGCCGAGTATGCGGACCATCGGCGCGAGACAGACGTATATGCTGCGATGGTGTTAGTCCCCTGGTGCTGCGCACACGCTCAAAGGGCTCGGTGCGGTTAGAGAAGTACCTTGAAGTGACGAGCACGGGAGCGATTGTGAGGAGCGCCTTGCTCTGCATGAAGGGGTAGACGGCCCAGGGGTCGCGCCAGCCGGCCATGCGGTCGACCCAACCAAGCATCTCGAGCACGCAGGCGAGCGTGACGATGACGGAGAAGGGCGTGGCGCTGCGCTGCCGCCGGGCCGAACGGGCGACGACGGCGCCGTTGATGACGAGGCAGACTGCCGAGACGGTCGCGAAGATCGCGCTCGCCGTCAGCGCGGGGCGGAAGCCGTACGGACTCTCGGACACGTCGCACGTCGACAGCGTGCAGAGCGAGGAACTCATGTTGTCGCTTCTTTTTTTTTATTCGTTTCTTTTTATCCTCCCGTGAGATCTTTAGTCTAGGACAGAGTTGTTGCGTTGTGTCGGGGTGTTAATGCGGACGGACCCGGACATTAGAATGGGCGCCGGTGTATCGGTGCCTTTCAAACAAAAGCCAAGAGACGTCGAGAAGCGAGAAGTGAAGTGACACGATAAAATTCACCTCTGAGTTTGAGCGATGCCGTCGTGGTTATATGTGTTAAACAATCGCGTCCCACGTTTCTGTCTTGGACGTGGTGGGGTTAATTGAAGATCTCCCCCCCTCCCCAATGGCTTTCCCAGACAGTTGGGATCTCTAAAACCGGCGCTGTTGTGGCCATGTCTTGATCCTGCCCCCGGCTCCCGATGCCTATGTTTAGAAACGGCCGGTCGGTGAAGCGTGTACGATGTAGGTTGGTTGGCAGGTTTCCTAATGCGGGGAGGGGGAAGTGGCAGTGCCCCGTGGTAACTGGAGCTTCGCCGGCTGCCTTGCGCACGGAAAAGTGGAGACGCGTTCGGGGGAAGGAGATTAGCGGAGACAGCACGGCCAGCTCCTGCTCCAGTGCGTTTTTAGGCACCCGTTCCCGGGGGGGGGGGCGGAGCGGGGCGACTGGGTTAGGTGACCCGGGAGTGATGTTGTTAGAGCCATCTCCTCCGACCCAATATTTGTTTTAGGCTCCTTCTTGCATGCTTGCTTCCTGTTCAGCCCTCCTTGGCGACTCTCACCCAACATCGCGCCGCCTCAGCCCCAACCCCATCCGATCACATGTCTTGAATCCACGTATCTGCTCTCCCTTACTGTTTAAAGAGGGCTCCAATTGGTCTCATCCGTTTGCACTAATTGCCGCGCAGCGCCACAGCCGATCTGCTCGTGGATCTCAGACACCTTGTTGATCTTGGTGTCAGACATCGAGTTGCACCAAGTGGCAGCATCCACAAGCTTTACCGGACGAGACTCGAGTCTCTTAAGTTATTTCTTGTTCGGACTCGCCTGTAATTTTGGGACTCGTCTTTTTTCTTTCAAATCGTGACGAGACTATGGGTTTAATGTCTTTTGCCAGTCAAGCCTCCGGCCGTATAATGACGCCATTTCGCGATGCCATTTATTATATCGGTCTGCTGTCAGATACAACAATGGTGAGGGGGCAGACATATGTCGATTCGTGTCGATGAACTACATGTCAAGTATCGGCCCGGTTTCACTCCAAGATGGTTACGAGAAACCCGCTTTCTTAGATTGCAAAACCCGTGATTATCCCCAATCGTCCCCAATACCTCCCGATCCGCAATCCACGTTTGATATAAATACTCTTCCTGCTGTAACGCACACGTTTGACTAAGATATCAATAGAGGAAGAAAGCTCCTCAAGATAGAAGAACCAGAAAACATCACATAGAGATGAGACAGGACTAATCTATAGCAAGTAGACTTACTAAAAACTAATAGCACCAAGGGTAAAGCGCATCCTTCAGCTGCATAGATCCTCACTGTCCAGGACCTGTGGTGGTTTCCTTCTCCGGCTGGCGACCAACGATACAGTAGCTAGTATGCCTGCATCAGCAAAGACTGCAACATGGTGAAAATCAATAGACCAGCGCTTACACGGGGCAGCATCCATGGTAACTCTTATTCCTCAGGTCCTTGCGGACACCAGTGAACAAGATGGACGGGGAGAGTCCCTTTTCCTCTATACCGAGAAGACATCGACCGTCAATGCGACCCCTCTTTCGTGGCCGAGAAACCGATGAAGCAAACAAACATGCATATGTGAGTTAACGGCCAAACTTAACCTTCCCCCCCTATTGTAGCATCGCATTGGGGATATTGGGTCTTGCCGGCGAATGATAGCAGATAGATATGTCAATGAATGTGACATCTCATTCGTAAATGTGGGAGATGTCTAAGCCATCGCCTTCTCGTGGGCTATGTTGGCACCCATGCCCGCTGTCCTTAGCCTTGGCCTTGTCAATAACTCTACTGCAACGTGTCGAAGCCTCACGTAACATATGCCCTAGCCCGTTATCCAGAACAAGGAGAGGGGGAGGGTGAGACAATAGCACCATGTGAACACAGAGTGCCGATTTTATTTTGCTTCTATATCTTTCTTGACATCCCACTCCTCCATCAGGCACGTGCGGCGCGCCATGGCGGTTGGCGGGGTCTCTATGCGTTGGTCTTCGCCCTTCGCTTCTCAATCTTGGCGAGCTCCGCGTCAATCTTCTTGAAGCTCCAGCTCTTCCAGAAGGGGGGATACAGGAATGGGCGGAGGTCGAATCGGTTGTCGTCGGGTGCTGTTTCTGTGGTTAGCCGAGACACCATGGGAGTGGCAAAGGGTTTTTTGATTTACAGTAGTCGTTGCAGTGGAGGGCCGGCGTGAGTGTCGTCATCTTGTGTCCTGTTTCATAGTTAGGTCTTCCGCGGGGCAGCATATCCTGCATCCTCCGTTGACTCACTATTGATGGCGTAGAAGTGGAAGAACTTCTTGACCTTGTCCGCGGTCTGGCTGGGCTCATACGCCGGCGCGTCGTCCTCAGGTCCACGCTTGCGGTCGACACTCCATTCGTGAACGAGGCGCTGGAACATGCCGTACGGGCCCAGCTTATTGACTTTGCGTAGGCGGCCCATGATGGTCAGCTCCTGGTAGGTCATGCCCATGTCTACTTCATCGCTCTGCACGTATGTGTCCGAGATGGGCTCCTATATATGCTCGCGTTAGTGGATTTGTGCTTTTCCAGAGTCAAGGATGCATAGTTTGTGTCGCGGTCATCGCGCCTTAGCGTGGCGGAGACAGCAGGGTAACATACGAGCTCAGCAGTCGGAACTGCAGTCAGGAAGTCATGGAGACAGGGGATGTTAAAATCCTTCTCAGCCCAGGCGATGAAGCGCTTGAGGTCGGCCTTGTCGATGGAACCGATGGGGTTGATGTCGGCACCTAGAGCAGGTTAGCCCAGCCTCAATGTCAGCCATCTTCTCTGATGGCAGGGATTCGTTATGCCAGTATCGTTCTTATCCCGGCAGAGATGGGTGACTGGGTCTGCAGATTTTCCGGTATAATGACTTACTGGAGCAGTCATATCTGCGTCCTGATTAGCTCTTGTCTTCACACTACCCGTTCACCGTGGTGTTTCTCACTTGGTAAAATATCCTCTGAGGGACTGCGAAAGTCAGTAATGGCACAGGAGCAAATGGAGTCGGTAAACTCACCTCCCCGACGTTCGCGCTGCCCAAAACGAGCAGACCGCCGCCTCCAGGCCTGCCGCGGGCCGTGGGAAGAAGCTGCCCAAACTCGTACGCCGTGACCATGCGGATTCGCGCCTGGATGCACTGCAGCGTCAGGTTCTCCTGCTGCGTGCCGCCCTCGACCTTGAACCTAGGCTCGAAGTTGAGAGCGCTGACGGCGAGGCTCTTCTGCGCGTTGTAGACGTCGTCGATGTCGAGGTTGATGTGGTAGCTGCCGATGGCCTCGGCGAGGTCCTTGGCGCGCTGGCGCGTCTCGGCCGAGCTTTGCGTCTTCATGCCCATGTAGATGGTTGAGAAGATCTGGTTGCAGAGGGCCTGCGGGGTCTTGGGCAGGACGCCCTCGCCGTCGTACTTTGCGAGCCGCTTCACGTCTTCAATCACCTGGGCGTTACCCTCCTCAACGGCCTTGATAACGATGCGGCACATAGAGAAGACGATCGCTTCGGTGGGTTAGCGGTGTCTTGATCTCGGGGTGGCTATCTGGAGGGGGACTTGCTCGCTGTGGCGCAGGAGTCGATTCCTCCACTCAGGGGTACCAGGTAGCCCGCGGTGCCGGACCTTCGAAGGTACTAGTGAGGATACCGGAGTTAGCGAAGCAAGACGAGAGGGTTAGTCGAGTCTCTTACATCCCAGAGATAACAGCCAGCACAGAGAGCTATCTCTTCCTCGACGGAATAAAACTTTGGCTTGATAGGGGGGGAGGGAGTAATCATAATGTCGGCATCTTCGTCCTCGGAGCTGAGCTCAAAGGGGGTTTGGATCCTCTCGTACTTGGCGTCGGAACGCGCAGCCTGAAGACCACGAGAGATGGCTGACCGATAGGCCCTGACCTCCTCCAGATCGACGGTGGCAGTAATGACCTCAACATCGTTCAGACTGAACTGGGAGCCCTGGGCGACAACTTCGCCGTTGACGAGAATCATGGCAGAGCCGTCGTAGTAGAGTCTGTCGCCGTCGCAACCCTGTTGGTTGGCGTAGAGGTAGATGCCTCCGCACTTGCGGGTGGCCTCCGTGATGAGCTTGAGACGGGTATCGAGCTTCTGCAGGGTGAAGTGCGAGCCGCTGGAGTTGGTGATGATCTCCACGCCGTCGAGGCTCATGGCGATATGCGGAGCGTTCGGGGTGAACAACTCCTCCTGTTCACGAGTCAGCACCGACATGACGGAGGCTACCACGGCCCTCTGCAACTTACGCAAGTCTCGGCACCAAAGCACGTGTCGGGAGTCGAGACCACAGCATCGCCAAAGACGACATGTGTGGCGCCCTGAATCTCCTGGATGATGCGGGGCAAATGGTACTGTTCAGTCTGGCGCGGGTGCATCCAGGGGGTGAAGTGACGCATCTCGCGGTAGTTGCCGTCATTGGCGAGCCACATCTTGGGGCGGATCATGAGGATCTTGCCATCCAGGCAGAGAATACGGCAGTTGAAGCGCTGGTTGCGGTGCTGTACCGGCATGCCGATGTCGAGCAGGATGCCGTGGCAGGTCTCGTCGAGCAGGATCCGGCGCAGCATCTCGAAGCAGTGCAGGTAGAGGTCCTGCTCGAGAAGGTGATCCAGACATCCGTAGCCGCATATTTCTAGTTCCTGGGTTGGAGGTCAGCCGGGTTGATCACTTTACAGGAGCTCGCGTCCGAGTTGAATGGTTTGTGACCAGCCAGCTTCATTGCAACATGGTTGCAGATTCAAGGCAAGAGTTGGAAACACTCACAGGCCCAACGCGCAATCGTGCACCTGCAGCCTTTGCTTTCTGAATACTCTCAACAATGCGAGCAGCATTGCCTTCCCACTAAAGCAAAACCTGATTAGCATTTACCTCCCAGATATCTCAACGAACCCGTGGGGATAGCAGCGCTCGAGAAATGCGAGACTCACGTCCAAGGCCCATTGGTTCAGCGAGCAAGTCGCCACCGTAACGAGGTGCCCCATGTCGTGAGATGAGTTGTCCCACTCTGGCGACGAGTTAGACCAGTTTTCGTTGAACGCAGTTTGGCGAGCGACTTTTTGGCCGCAGCTCACAGTTAGGTTCAGAAAGCGGATCTGGATGCCCCTCGCGTGTAGTCGAGATAAGATTCAGTCGTTGGGACGAACAATGACTCATCCGAAAGAGAGAAAAAATTCGGACGAGCTGGAGAGTCCCAGTGGAAAACTAGGTATGGCACTCAGTCGCTCCTCAAAGTGTTGCTTCTTGGAGCTCTCTTCAGATGGTCGGAAGAGCCTTTCCTGTAACTCGGGGAAGTCTCGGACAGCTGGGAGGTTGAGACGTGAGCTCCAAGTGCGGAACCTCCAGCAAGTGTTGCAACCCCTCGTGCGCTATCGGATGTTAGTGTTTCCAGCCGACTGCGCAGTAACCTCTAACACCGATCATCTGTAAACACTTGGAACTCGCAGATCCTTATGGGCTTAATGAACATCAACACTACACGTTGAAAAAAATGAAAATAATTACCGATATGGAAGTATTGCTGTAAGAAGACATATCTTTCGTAGAATAGCAATTCGCAAACCGGCAGTAGACATGTCTTTCCAGGTGCAGTGATACATTATCGCCGCAACCCCTGCCCCCCCGCCATTGACCCTGGCACTTCGGCGCCAAGTCAGCACGTATGCTGGCATTTGCCGGCCGAGCTTCCCCCAAACTTACCCCGGCACTGGCGCCAGCACCTCCCAAAGCGCCTCGGCTCAAAGCTACCCAACTGCCAAAACTCCAACGACCCCGGCTTGGCAACCTCTCCCGCCGTTCACGATATCACGACGCCACGACCCTTCCCGACGACGAGACACAATAACCCCCTCACACCATCGAACCTCTCCCATGCGCGGCCCCTCCTCAATCGAGCATCTCGGCATCTGAATTCCTCCTGCCCATCCTCCGAAACCTCACCGCCCAGCGCGCAATGCGCACGAGCAACCTTCCAAAATGACATCCGAATCATCACCATCACCACCACAACCCTCCGCCTCCTCCTCCTCCTCCTCCTCCTCAAAGCATCCGACCCTCCCTTCGTCACCGTACCCCTACGCTTACGCTCCGGATATCATCCGCGCCCACCAGAAGGACGCCTACTACAAGGGCCACCTCTCCAACACATTGACCTCCCTCCACCGCCTCCTCCTCGGCGCCCGCTCAGCCCACGCCTCCGCGCCCCTCCACCGCCTCGTCGCCGACACCCTCTATCTCGGCCTCACCACCCTCCCCGGGAACCGCACCCTCGGCGAGGAGTACTGCGACCTCGTCCAGCTCCACGTCGGCGCCAACGACAACGACGACCCTGCTGGCGCCCTCCCGACCCTGCCCCGCCGCGCCGCCTACATCGCCACCTCAGTCCTCCTCCCCTACCTGCTCGGCCGTCTCCTCCCCGCCGCCCGCGCCCGACTGCGCGCCGCCCTCGAGCGCGCCATCGGCCCCGCCGCGAAGCCGAGCGACGCCTCGTCCGCGCCCGCGTCCACATTCGCGTCGACGCGGAAGATCCTCGCCGCCTACCTCCTCGCGAACCTCCCCTCCCTCACCTCCGCCGCGCCCCTCCACGCCGCCACCCTCGCCGTCTTCTACTTCACCGGCACCTACTACGAGCTCGCCAAGCGCGTCCTCGGTCTGCGCTACGTCTTCACCCGCCGTGTCCCCGACTCCCCCGACCGCGCCGGCTACGAGGTCCTCGGTGTCCTCCTGGTCGCCCAGCTCGCCGTCCAGTCCTACCTGCACATCCGCGCCACCATCTCCGACCTCTCCTCTCAGGTCTCCGCCGCCCGCGTTGCTGCCGCATCCCGCTCCCACGCGGGCGGCCTCTCCCACGTCGACGTCTCCCTTGACGCCAACGCCTACGCCGCCAACACCAGCGTCCTCCTCGCCTCGGAGGCGACGGCGGCGGCGGCGGCGGGCGGCGCCGGCGCCGGGACCAGCAAGGTCGACATCGCCGCCGTGACGCACACCCCCGTCGCCGCCTCCGCCTCCGACGGCACCCTCGGCGCGAGGTTCGACCTCGAGAACGCCGGGGTCATGGCGTACATCGCGGGTGCCGCGCAACGCAAGTGCACGCTGTGCCTGGAGGAGCTCAAAGACCCGTCGGCGACGCAGTGCGGGCACGTCTTCTGCTGGACGTGCATCGGGGACTGGGTCCGCGAGAAGCCCGAGTGCCCGCTCTGTAGGAGAGAGGCCATGGTGCAGCATATCCTGCCGCTGCGCGCCGCGTAGCTGGGCCCGGTCGGTCGGTCGGTAGGTAGTGATGGCTACTTTGCACAACGCGGTGATTGGGCATCATGTATTATGACTACATTGGCTTCTGCGATGGCTGTGCCAGGACATGGCGTATGATCGGCCATCCGTAATTGAGCTGGGAAGAGTGTGGGCGTGGGCGGCATTTGTATAAAGCAAGTATCTATTCAACACAGCTTGGGTGCAGGGTTGGGCGTTTCTTTCTTTCTTTCACAAATGACTCAAACGACATCTGCGCGTCGGATTTGTAGGTAGGTCGGAAAGTGATGTATATATATATCATAGAACAGAGGAGCTACACACTTTCTCTCACTCATTCCTACCTCGACTAACCTTGCCCCTCTGTCCAAGTGCTAGTAGATAATGCAACACGAAAATAGGTATCGGTCGAACGCTCTTACTCAGCACAGACAAGATTCAAAGAAAGGCAACTCCATCTCGCCGTCCCATGCCACGCCCATATGGCTCAATGAAAGCTCAAAGACCAGCTAGGAGCATGTGGTTGTGGGTGGATAAAAGACGAAATCGGGGTCGAGGACGGGAAAATAAGTTTGAAACAAAAAATGCATCAACTCAGATCAGAGTAAACCCGACCTTGCCGGTCAAACCCCCGCCAGTTCTCCCTCGGCCTGTTTCCCTCCAGGCTTCTGATGGCTCTAATCCATCATGTAGGTATCATGTGCCAAAGTGCATTCGAGCATTAGCATGGGAATATGAAATGAAGATAAAAAAGAAAGAAAAAAACCGCTCGAACTCCGTATCCTGTATGAGTTTCAACACCCCCATTGACCTTGTCCGACCTGGACAATGACCGGACAGCCTGATCGCCTCGCTACACTCAAAATCACGACGGGTTTGTGTATACAAGACAGGGCTCAGGCCGTGAAGAGGACAATCTCCCCACGATCGTTGCGCCTGAGACGCAGCGACCGCCATAGCTCCTTCTCCTCCGAAAGCTTGCCAAGGCTATCCTCGGACTCGGAGCGCTCGCGGTGGAAGCGCTTAAGGGCCTTGTTCATGCTGCAGCCGCGCTCGCTCTCAGGGCCCTTGTTGATGAAGGACAGGAAGAGGTCGGCGCGGGGGCGGTAGACGATCATCTGTCCTTCGCCATCGGCGTTCTCGCCCTTCTTGCTGTCGCGAGAGCCCGGGCGGTACTCAATCAGCTTGGGGGGCTTCTCGCTGTCGGTCCGGTGGTGGCGGGAGTGCTTCTTGGTGGACGACGAGACCTTACGCTTCTTGGTCTTGGTCTTGGTCTTGGTGCTGTTCATGTTCAGCAGACCGAGGAGGTTGTTGCCAATGCCGTTCTCCTTCTTCTGCTTCGAGCTCTTGGTCTTTTTGAGCGGGCTGGTCAGGCCTGGGTCGGCGACGTCGCCGCCGGAATAGTCGGGCGAAGGCGGGAAGACGGGACGCATCAAAGTTTTGAGGCCGCCGGTCAAGCCCGAGTGAGCCAAGGCGGGAGGGGCGTCAACCATCATCTGGTCAGTGTCAACGTGAAGGCGCTTTCGTTTCTTGTCTTTCTTCTCGCTGCCATCTTTTCTCCTCCGCTCGTGCTTCGGGGCAGGGGTCTCGTAACCCATGGGGATCGGTCCGGTGCCATATTGCACGAGAGCGTGGCGGTCCTCGTCGATCATTGCACCGTCGTCATCCAAGTAGGCTTCGGCATCGTACTCGTAGCGTACAAGCTGTGTTTCCTCGTTTGGTTCCTTGGGTCCCAGAGTAGACGCATTGGGTGTTGCAGACGGATCGAGGAAGTCAAAGACGTTGACGTTGCCCTCGTTGGCCGAGGGGGGTGTTGGGGCCTCAGGGAGGAGCTCGGCGGGCGAGTTGCCGTTGTCGCTGGCCTCGTACGGGAAGGATTCGAACTCGGCGTCGGGGACCTCTTCGACGTATGCGTGTTGAGCCATGGCGCCGTATTGGTGAACGGGGGCGGCCTGAGGCTGGTTGTTGTTTGTCTTATTCTTCTTGTTGCTGTGGTTGTTCTTTTCCTTGTATAGAGCGCCTTGATACTTTTGGGCCTCGCTCATACAGCTCTGTCACCGGGTTAGCATAAGAAAAGACCAAACAGCGACCATCACAGCCAACGGATTGAACGGGCCGGTATAACTTACGGTATGGGATCGATACTCAGTGCCAGGAAAGTATACCATGCAATCAATGCAGGTAAAGGTGGCGCCTCGGCAACGGTTCCTGTGGGGATCGAGCTTCTTCTTGGTCAAGACATCACCACACGACTGGCAGAGTAAGACGGGTCAGTTATGTTGCGCAGGAAATGATCAAGAGATTATTGGATTCTGCGTGTTCGAAGAGGGGTGTATAGTATAGTATGGTCTGGGAGGCGAGGGAGGAACGGGACGAGACACTGGCTATTAAAGACGGCATCCAGGGGGGAAGAAAGGTGGGAGGGGGGTTTGGTTCTGTTGCTGGAGGGGTGTGGGTGTGTCCGTGATGTCTTGCAATGGGTAGGTGTGTGTGGTGTAAGGATGTGATGTCAGGCCCCCGAGTTTATAATAAGACGACATGGGGATCATCGGGGGTGCTGCAGACGGGGGAATACAGAGAAGAAGGAAAGGGGACCCTGGGTTGAGGGGGGGAGGGGGGCATGGGGAAAAGCGGCGGGAAAAAGAGAGGGCGAGGGCTTACCTCACACGAGAAGGATACCATGGTGAAGGGAGCGACGCTGTATGATGATGCGCTGTCCTTGGAATGGGATCTTATTGGGCGCGGACGTTGGGCAGAGAACGGACTCTGACTGGGTCGCGGTATTTAACGGAAGTGAAAGGGAGGGCGACGACGATAATGGGAGGCGAAGAGGGAGGGTGAGCGTCGCTGCTGTTGGGCTGGCGTATACAATTATGTCGGTATGCAGAATGCAGTCGCCTGACTGGGCCGGGCTGGTGGGCTCGGGGGATCGTCGAGAAGTGGACTGCGAAATGCAAGCCGGGTCGTGCCTTGTACCAAGGGAGGGGACAGGGCCAGCTGGGACGACGAGAACTTTGGGGGCTTTTGGGGAAGCGTAGTTTGAGATGTTAGCAGTCGGTAGCGGCTGTGCCAGAGACTAGCGGGATTGATGGACACTGCCCCGAGGTGGTGTGCTCGACGGCTGATTGTGCGTGTGGGATAGAGTATGAGAGAGGGAGAGCGGGTCGCAGTTTGGCAGCGGTAAAAGGAACCAAGACTACTATGGGATGACAAGATGAGACGAGGAACTCTCTGCGCAGCCGGGGAGCACAAAACCAATGATGCCAAAGGGTTGTTCAGCTCTGAGATATCAGGGGCTCCTCTCCGTGTTGGTTTCGCGTCTCGAATAACGGAAGTGTGCCGTAGATCTCTAATGTTGGAATACCTTATTCGGAAGGGCCCAAGGGGGCGTCTCTGACAGGGGGGGTGAGAGGTTGCGTTTCGCGCTTCAGGTTTGTGTGGGAAACGGAAGAGAGTTGCGAGGCCCTGTACGAAGTAGGGGGGAAGGGAAGCAAGCTACTGAGGGCGGCAGCGCAGGAACGCGGCACAATTACTGTTTGTCCTAGACGGGAAAGCGGATTGTGACCGGGTCACAAAGGCACTGCAGGATGTTGCAGCGGAGGAGCGACTAATAAGACGCGGAATTCCAGAATCTCGTGGCTTGATAGAAAGCCGAGGGGAGTCTGGGGGCTGGATTGAGTCCGAACGTGGATGTGAGCGTGAGCGTGGGCGTGTTGCGAATAGATGGCGAAGCGACTTGGAGAAACTGGTGGCGGGCGTGTCGAAATCGAGGGGCAATAGCGCGCCAAAGGCTTATTATGGCCAAGGAAGGGGCGATTGGCCGTGCTGAGGATTGTTGGACTAATGAATGATGAGATTACTCTGGTGTTATCTCGTCCGAACCGGGCAGCTTCTTGCGTGTGCCGAACAGCTGGATCCAAAGTTTACGTCGATGAGAACTTGGGAAGGGAGAGAGGGTAGGAAAAAAATTAAGGAGATGAGCAGTGGTTGTGGTTGAGGTGAAGGAGAAGCTGCCTTGTAAATTCTACTAAGCAAACAAAGTGGAATCGGGCGAAACTTTTCGCATCGATTTTTTTTTTTCCCAATGTTTTTTTTCTTTCTTCTTTTTCCCTTTCTTCTTGTCGTTTCGCTCTTCTGGCCCCTCCCTCTCCGTTTCTCACCTCTGTTTTCTTACCGCGTGGGGGCCTGGAAACTGGAGTGTGCATCTCAGTCGGGCAGCTTGACATGTCGCTCCTAAACTCACACCCCCGATCCATCGTTCACAGGCGGTATCCCAGGGAAACCAAGGTCATTCAGCAGCATATAATGGTCTCGATTGGTTTAATGAGTCTGAATCCGAGCGGCACTCCTATATGATTGGCTGAATACCACATGGAGTCGAATCTCGCGTTAGCCAATTGTCGCCTAGAGAGTGAGAACGGTGGGGGTGGCTGCATCCCGTCCGCCTCACTCCTGTCGTCGGCGGGAAGACGGACGGTGGGCGGGAGCTATGGAAACGTCCTTTCGCACAATGCGATGCGGACCGTAACCATCTTTCTCCGTCTCTCTATCTTGCCGTGTGTCGGCGCAGCCCCTAAATGCATGACCCCCAATCGCACAATGCGCTTCACCTGTGTTGGCCATTCTGCAGTAGTAGATCGTCCCCGCGCTTCGCTCGTATCTCCCCAAGGCAAGGCCGAGTGGAAATGGGGAGAGGAGCTGGTGCAAAGCTAGAGCCGTGGTGGTCTCGTTGCGGTGCCGCATGTCCCCAGCCGTCGTCCGCTAGCGACTGGAACCTAGCTGTTTTGGCTGCTAGTGCTGCCCCGTCCCCAGCGTAGGCACTTTGGCTTTAATGCCTGCTCTTCCTTACCTCAGGGACAGTGCCTATGCATCGCCGTCCGTTCGAGTGCGCGAACATGCATGGACCACGGCATGGCCGATACGGTAACATGGGGCCGACCCGGTGAGGGTCCACGATCTCGGGCGGCAGGTCGATGGAAGTGGCCGGCCATTCGTCTTCCCATTCCGTTCTACCGCGGTTTCATAGGAAAGAGACGAGAACCCCCTTGCTTGGCCGACAGGAGTCAAGGGAGGTAGACGAAGAAGACAGCGACGGGTTCTTCACCTTCTGTTCTGGGGCTCGAAAGCTTCCGTCTCTGCTTCGAAAACTGGGGCCATGTGCCGATGCCTTTGTCCTCGCGCATCCCGACTTCAACCACTCTTACACGACTCTCCTGGGGGACAAGGTACAGCCAAGGCCATGCAACACCACCAGATCAGGGGGGGCTAGGCGAGGCCAAACGATAGGTTGCAGTTCCTGCCCCTATCCGTGATGGACATCGCCGCGAATCACAACAGATAATGACGATGGTCCCAAAGGCATGGAACGGCTGCTGCCGCCGTGTTGGGCCTCGATCTTGCCCGCGTCCAGCTTCGGGCGCCCGTCACATTGTTTTCGGTGATGTTGATTGGCGGACTGCATGACAGCCCCATTTGGTAATGCATCGCCAATTTGCGTAAGACGGCGAAGGAAGTCTTCAGCACCGCCGCCGCCGCATCCTTCCAAGGCGCGCGTCTAAGTTGACGAGTGATCCAACTACCGACGTTACGTTGGTGGTGTGGACGATGTTGGGACTGCCCTTGTTGCGCATAGAGCATGGACTAGAATAGACCGGGGAGCTGTTCCTGATCCCACTCATCAGAGAGTCTGTGGCTCTGCTGGTTACTAGCTGTATGTATGCCTCGCCCTTTGGCTTGGGGGGGAAAGGTGCATAAGTTCGCTGAGGGTCCTTCGTCGTTGCCATTTCGTCCTTTTCCGTTTTCTCCCTTGCCTGTGCTTTGCGTTGGCGTCTGGACACACACGTCCCTTTGCCCCCCTCACCCGGACGGCTGGCCCCCAGCGTTGGTGACGAACAGACGCAGGAAATTGGATCATGTGATGATGGTATTGGAGGGTATTGGAGGGGGCCGCTGATATCTGATATGGGGATGTTGAATGACCTGCGAAGCAGGTTTGCTTTGCAGGCGAGATAATACCATGGCAGCGAATTGGACGGTTGGCGACAAACGCTGCCACCGTTGGAAAAAACGACGGTGTCATTCATTGATAGCTATTGGAGCTATTCTTACAGCTAGTACAATTTCGAACATTACTCAAACCGGGCCAAGATGACAACCTTGAGCCCCTTGCCGGTTGGTACCTTGCCCAAAGTAAACTGTAATTTTTTGTTTTTGGGGGCGTCTTTCATTGCCTTGTCTTGCTTTGGGTACCTTGGGGACTTAAAGCCAGCGACTGGGATGAATGTCTCCGCTGGTGTGGACAAAAGGTCGGCTCAACAGCATTAGTCTCAGCCATGCAACGTCTTGAATGTCGTCAAACCACAACCTGGATGGGAGCGCCGGCTCTCCGTCGTCGCTCTTCCCCATTTGCCCAATCGTTAGTTCCCGCTAGATCAGCCCACGGCGTTCCTCCAGGCCCGAAATTAGCAACTGGGGATGGAGGTATTCGTGAATCACACCTCCCTAGGTACCTTATCTACCTACCTAGGCAGGGACTTACAGACAGGTAGGTAACTACCACCATGCATACCTACATGCTATAGGGAAGGCACTCAACTCCCCTCACCAGGTCTCACGCTTGGCAGCCCCCTTCCCTGTCACGACGCGGCGCCTTTGGAAAGAGCGAGTGAGCGAGCGACCTTGGGACTTGCATGTCCATTGCCCGTTCATCTCTCCCGAATCAGGCCAAGATGCACACAGCTGAACAGTTGTATACAACAAGACGGAATGTGCTTTTCTCGTAGACGCACTATACCTACAGTACTAGGTCAAAAGTCTGGCTACAGCAATAAGAATAACCCAAAGAAGAGTTGAAGGGGGGACCCAGTAATAGGTAGCTGGAGGTCACTCCATAGTTTGACCTAGTACTGTACCTACCTACTACCTACCTACCTACCTATCTAGGCACACAACATCGTGGCAAGCCTCGATTCTTGGTTGTTCTAAGCAAGCGTTGCCTTGATAACACAAACGTCGGCCAATAAACCACCACCGGCATTGCCGCCATCCTGATTACAGGGTTGTTTATTGCTTCATGCGAGGCGCGTTTTGCAAACAGGCGCAATGAAACCACACGCAACCACCAACGCGTCTCTGCTCGTGACGTAGCGGAACCGTGCCAGCCAACCAGCTGTCCCCAGTCGGCATCAGAAACTCGAGGGCCGATCTTTGCATTCATGCTTGGGGCAGGCTCACCCGCCCATCGCTTCCTTTCCTTTCGTATGTGCGGCTTCCTCCTCCTCCACATTTCATTGCCGATCGCATACGGATAGACCTCCTCGTATGCTCATCTTCCTACCGCTCTCAGCATCCGCCACCCGGAAACGCCATCTGGTGAGTGGACTGCGAAGCAGCCCTGTGCGAGCAACCGAGATATCAGATCATCTGCCGCATCGACACGCCTCGGAAGTCTCCCTTGGGCCCAGTTTCAGAGCGCTTTCCGGCCTCATCCCGCGTCCTGGACAGATCATCATCTGCACTGACGCTGCAACCACCTCTTTGACAGTGGTCGGTAAACGATCATCGGCCATCCGCCCATCAATTCCGGCCGCACGGCTGCCGAATCCCGTCTCAGGGTGATTTCCTTCTGACCTGCATCATGTGGCCCTGCCAAGCATAAAAAACATACCAACGCCGTCCGTCTTCTGCTGTTGATGCTCCTGTCCATGTTGGGGTTTAGGGCCGGTGTTAACTCTATCAACTTTCGCGACTGGCCGCAAACCGAAACAAGTCACCTCGCACAGGACGTAGGTCAAGACTGCTGAGCGTATGCAGCTCAAGCCGTACCCAACTCGAGAGCACATAACACGCTACGATTCCTGGCGCCCTGGGTTTGTCTTCGTCGGTAACTCTTCTTTGTCGGCGTACAGATACAGGGTCACCCACAGATACAAGTCTGCTGCAGGCCTAACCCTGCTTCGTCGTTCGTTCTGCCCACGTCTGTCGCACCGCCAGTCAGGTGTGCTACTACCAGGTATTACCCCCAGGCCCCCAAACGCCCTCACCGGGGCTTAACACCGCCGCAGTACCCGCCTGGATCCAATTTGCCCTCCGGGGTACCTGCGTCCAGCTAGCATCGGCCGCGCTGTCCAGCGCCTTCGCGAGCAAGGCTCCGCTCTCGCTCCAGGATCGGTTCTGCACCGCTTTCCTCGCTTCGAGCCTTGCCTTCCCCATCAAACAGGTCGGACCCCATTTCCCCTCGAGTGCGCTCCAGCACCCACCACACCGAAATATAATCGCTCTTCCACCCTTTCCCCTTCAGTCCCCGGCCTGGCGACTCGCCTTTCTTCCCGCGATGTCCGCTTCCACCTCTTCTTCGTCGTCTTCCAGCAGTTACTTCGAGCAGACGGCCTCTATGCTCAGTACTGTTGGCGCGTACATGCGGCTTCCAGCCATAGCCTCGACGGTATGGCCATTCCCGCCTCCTCGTCCTATGGACAGCCTGTCTTCTCACACAGATACTTTAATTTTCCTGTCTGCTACCCCTCCTCTCGAGCATTCGCCCAAGACCATGGCCCAACCGCCTTCTTTAGTGGTCTAGGCTAACATCTTCACTACCTAGGGCATCGCGGCTGTCTTGACTACCCTCCTTTACTTCAAGCAAAAGTAGGTCCGCTCCCAAGTCCAGGTGACCGCGGTCCCCACCCACATGGCTAACCTAACGGTGCGCCCTGCAGGGCTCTAATCTACCCCTCGCAGATACCTGCCAACTCTCGAACGGACGTCCCAAGACCCTCGCAGTATGGCATTAAGGATTTCGAGGAACTGGTCATACCCACAAATGATGGAGAGAAGCTGTCGGCATTCTACATTCGGGGCCCGCGCGGCGGGAACAACTCCAACGTCACCATCCTCATGTTCCATGGAAATGCCGGCAACATTGGCCACCGCCTGCCCATTGCCCGCATGCTTATAAACTTTATCGGATGCAACGTCTTCATGCTCGAGTATCGCGGCTACGGCTTATCGACCGGAGAGCCCGACGAATCTGGCCTTTTTATAGACGCGCAAACCGCCCTCAACTACCTCCGCTCTCGCGCAGAGACGAGCAAGCACAAGCTGATTATCTACGGACAAAGTCTGGGCGGTGCCGTCAGTATCAAGCTGGTCGCAAAAAACCAAAAGGACGGGGATATCGCCGGGCTGATCTTGGAGAACACCTTCCTCTCCATGCGCAAACTGATCCCCTCCGTTTTACCACCGGCTAAGTACTTGACTCTTCTGTGTCATCAGGTGTGGCCGAGTGAATCGCTCATACCCACCATCACGTCCGTGCCGATCCTGTTTCTTTCGGGGTTGCAGGACGAGATGATACCGTGAGTGCAGCGCACCCCTCATTCCCCGTTCTCCACCACCCATATGATGATCTAAAGTCACCACCCACAAAATATGAGCCTTTCGGGGCGCTTGATTTGAACTCACGACACGAGTCTGATATGGTTTTCTCTACCCCGGTTATTTGTGTGTCTCACTTGTTGCCTTTTTGGGACTGACGCCCGTCATAGACCCCGTCACATGCGCCAACTTTACGAGCTCTCTGCAGCGCCCACGAAAATTTGGAAGCCCCTGCCCGCGGGGGACCACAACTCGAGCATGCTGGAGGAGGGCTATTTCGAGGCCATTTCAGACTTCCTCGAGAATGTCGCCGGCGTCACAAGCAAGGAGGAGAAGCAGCGCCTTTAGGAGGGGTTCGTGGAAGCCGAAGAACTGTTCGAGAGGCACGTGGCGCAGATACTAGAGGAAGAGGCGGACCAGGAATCCGTCTTCACTGCCATGTCCAGGCTACTACACTGTCGGAGCCCGCCTCTCCGGCCGGCTGAAGACGGGTCTATCCGGAGTTGGCAACGGTGAGGCAGAGGGACAGAAACACGAGAGCTGGAAACGGTCATGACGACAGGCGCTCTCCTCGAACCTGCCAACCACGTCTTTGTTCCAGTCAAGAATGATACCCCCCCCCCCCCCCCCCCTCCGCTTCCTTCGTGGATCGGGATGTGACAACATATTGTATACGCAGCATAAACATAATGAAGCAATGAGTACAACCACTGAGGCCCTTCCAACAGCAGAGTGCGTGATGTGAGGCGAGGCCTGAATGTCGACAGCACCCGAAAGCAAACGGTACACTTGAACGGGGTCGGCGGGGAGGACCAAGACAGGGGATACCGGGCGGCGCATGGCCCTTCTGGTCATTTCCGACAGAGACGGCCTAGCTCGCCGGCCACGACGCTGATGGACGAAAAACCCGAGAGACTCACCACTCTTTGCCCTCCCAACCTCGTTTTCATGATCGTCGGGCGAGTCAACAGAAGGAAGGTAGGTACATGGTGCTGAGGGCGAGGGCCGGCGGACGGACGCGGGGGGGGGGGGGGGGGGGGCGGCCGTAACGGCATTGTCGTCTACCGGGACGGGAAGACAGGGGCTACCCTTGGGCGCATCCCGACGGGGGAGCCCCTCCCGCCTTCGCGGATTCCTCCCTCCCCTCGTGATCGCGTTGTGACGTGGCAGAGACGGATGCTTCGTCTACGGATGTCGGGGCGCTGAGTTGTGCGAGACGTCGCCGGGGTTCGTGGGGGAGAGTGCAAGAGCGGGCGGCGGGAGGTTGTCACGGGGGGCCGGGATGTGGACGGTGCCGACGATATGTTTGTTGTCGGGCTTGGACGTGGCGTCACGGCATTGTAGAAGATGGACAATGGTTCATTTCTCTTCTTGGTTATTGTTTTTTAAAAATACGGTTTTATAATTTTGTCATTCTATTCTATTCTATTCTTTTCTTTTTGTTGTCCACCTGCTGGTAATCCGTTTACTCCTGCGGCTCTTGAGGCTCTCATCACATCCAATCGCTAGGCCATACACTTTTCCTATACAGGATTCCATCTGCATGTGTCTCTTACTCGCGGGACTAAAGGCCTCGGCCACCATATCATTATCCCCGTCGTCGAGAGGTGGGTGTGGAGAAGCAAGGCGATGATGCAGCCCGGGCATGTATCTCCCCTGCTCGCACATCGTGGGTGAACAACTTCCTTGGCCGAGTGACATCCATACCACACGTCGCCTCACTCGTCGCTGTCGGCGGCGGCTTCCCAGTCGTCCGCGACAGAGTCCTCGACAACCTTCTTCCTCGCCAGCCTCGAGAAGCTGACGAAGCCGCTGGCGGGGCGCGCGTCCACGGCAGGCTTGGGCGCAAGGTTCCTACGCGGCGCCGCGGCGCGGCCGACGACGGCGTTCCACCCACCGCTGCCGCCGTCGCCCGAGGACTCGCGGCGGAGAACGTTGAGGCTCGCATCGGCGTGGACCATGGTCACGCCGGCGGCAATGCCTTCCTTGGTCGCGGTTCGTGCGACGAGGGGCTTCAGTGACGCGAGGCTAGCCTCGACGGCCGAAGGCGTCGTACCCCACGACGTAACAGGGACGGCGCGGATGAGGATCTCCTCCGAGGGGAGGAAGGAGGTCTTGAAAGAGAGGGTATTGTGGGCTTTCAGGTGGCTGGCGAGGGCGGACTCGACCTCGTCGATCGTCAGGCCGAAGCGCGGCGCTGCGAGCAGGAGGGCGTTGAAGGGTTCCAGCGCAGAGGCGGTGGCAGCCGACGAAGACGCTGCTGCGGCCGAGGCGGCTGATTTGGCGGCGTCGCTGCGGATCTTGACGCACTGCGCCAACGTCTTCTTGGGTGCCGAGACGAAGCGCGGCGTCTTGAATATGGAGACGTGACGGTGCGGCTCCGGGTCCTGGCTCTCCGAGTCGAAGCCAAAGTCCTCGGCGAGGGCGTGCAGGAAGGCGCGCTGGAAGGACGGCATGGGCTTGAAGCGAAGGCGCTTCTCCGAGGGCTCCGAGGCGAAGACGCGGAACTCGCGCTCCTGGTTCTGCGCCCAGGTGGAGGAGAGCTCGCGGAAGAGCTTGAGGGTCGTGTCCGAGTAGGGGATGTGGTCGTCCGTGTGGTCCGGATCGACGTTGAGCGCGACGGCGAGGCGCTGGTTGCGCTGGAGGCGGAGGCACTCGTCGTCGCACTTGAGAACGTCGCGTTCCGGAGTCGGGTTGGTCTTGGTCGCGAGGCACTTCACCTCCTTCTTGCGGTGCTGGCAGTCGCAGGTAATAAAAGTCTTGCCCTGGCAAGGCCGATCCTCCTTGCATGGATAGGGGGCATGGCAGGCGTCCTGGCACGAGTGGTCACAGGATTTGCGCGTCTTGCCGCAGGGCTGGGCGCAGTGAGAACCAGGGATATCGACATCCTCGCATTCGCCTGGGCGATGGCACTCCTTCCTGCAGGTGTGGGTGCTAGAGTCTGGTCAGTATGTGTCGGTTCCTGGTGTGATGTCCAGATAGCTTACCCGCACTTGAGCTTCTTGCCGCAAGGGAGACCACAACGGACCTCCTCCAACCAGCACGGTCTATTCTTCATCCTCTGCTTGCCGCAAATGCAGGCCTTCTCCACGAGGAAAGGACACTTGGGGCAGGGAACGTCGTCGGGGTGGCAGTTGTGCTTCACCGTGGGGTGGCCGCAAGGCGGTGCTCTCCTGCAGTCGAAGCGGCACTCAGGGGGTCGGGTGCCGCAAGGCTGGGGGGGTTGCAGGACGGTTCTGCCGCACGCGCAGCTGATCTCTTCGAAGACAGCCTCAAGACAGCTCGGGCATGGCCCAGAGTGGCAGATCTGAGAGCACTGATGGGTCCCGCACTTCAACGTCCTTCCGCAGACGCGGAGGCAGATATGTTCGGCTTCGACCTCGTCAGAAGCCTGTTGCTGTCTGTGCTTCTTCCGCGCGGCTTGTCTCTCGATGGCCTTCTTCTCCCCGGAGCAGCAGCGCTCGCCGCACTTGTGGCGGCCGCAGTTGAGCTGGGCCTGGCAGACTCTCATGCACATGGGCGTGGCGATCTCGCCCTGGTGACACAGGGAAGAGCTCACGGTTCGGCCACATCGGCAGGAGATATCCGCCTTCTGGAAGCAGGGGCTGCAGGGGCCGGTGTGGCATGTGTCGATGCATTTGTGGCCGCACAACAAGGTCTTGTCGCACGTCTTCTTGCAGTGAGGAATCTTGTCCTCACAGGATTGCCTCGGCCGATCGAGAAGCTCATCCAGAGGCGTCTTACCGCAAGGACAGTTCAAAACCACATCCGGGGCCGATGGACAATGAGCTGGTATCTCGTCCTGGGGATGGCAAGCCTTCTCGCACTTGTGGAGACCGCAATCGTACTCCCTTTCACAGGTCGCGCCGCAGTCGAAAGATCCGTCGAACCAGCTGCCCTCGGAGACGTCTTCGGCGTCAGAGCTGGACACCTGCCCATAGTTGAATGACATCTGGAGGTCGCCGCGGCGGTCGCATGAGATTTCCTTATGTTCCTTTCCGCAGTAGCATCTTGCCTGCACGGGAAGTTCGCAGTTGCCGCACAGGCCAGGATGGCATGGGGCAGAGCAAAAGTGCTCGCCGCATGGCAGCAGGTCTTCGCAGATCTCCTTGCAGCTCCACCCATTGCCATAATCGGTCTCGCTGCATCGCTTCGTCACCTCATGCTTGCCGCAGAAGCAGGACTGCGTCGGTCCCATCAATGTGCATGGCGGACATGGGCCAGCGTGGCATTCAAGGGAGCATGGGTGAGGGCATGTCGCTCTGGGCTTCGAGCATGTCTGTCCGCAAGAGTGAGGAGGCAAGCCAGGGACGTTTCGAGGGCTGATATCCTTGCCGCACCAGCAATGGTAAGACGATGGCTCCTCGGTCAAACTGGAGTTGCAACCCGGGCAGCGCCAAGACCGTGTGTCGTCATCCTTCTTCAGCTGACTATTGAACCACTTCTTGACACACGTCAAGTGCAAAACTGTCCAACATAGCCCGCAGGACCACACTCGAGATGGCCGTAGCACTTCACTCGAACAGATGACGCACTCATACTGTCCGTTACTGATGTCCTCATGAATCCGCGTTGGCAAGTCTGCAGCCGCAGACTTTGGCGCCAGCGGATATTGAGGCTTCTTCTGCTTCGGGGCTTGCCTGCTGTAGTTCGTTTAGCCTCTGTGAACACAATTGTGTGGAAGAATATGAACAAACCCTCTTTGGACGACGGGCTGCCCAGGGACGAAGTCTGGAGCATCCGCACTCATTCCAGGCCCCTCTGATCCGTCCGCATTGGTGTTTGCTGTCAAACTACCGCCGAACGTCCTCTGGGTTCCGGGAACAGCCCCACCACGCACGGCACCGCCAAGTCGGCCGCCTCGACTACCACCGCCGCCGCCGCCGCCACGGCCTCTGCCCCTTCTCCCTGAGCTGAATGATGGGGTCTCCGACGGGTTTACCGGCGCGGTTTCGAGGGCTGATGCTGGCTGATCTTGGTTCTGAGGCTGGGGGGCAGAGTTCCTACCGCCACCCCGCCGACCACCACGAGCATTGCCTCTTTCGCCTCTCCCTCTTCCTGACCTGCCTCTCCGGCCAGGCTGAGAACCTCCTCTGGCCGACGAATTAGTTTGAGTCTGCGTCTGCGTCTGCGCCGATGCACCTTCAGACATGGCGGCTTCGCTCGTCGTAGTGAAAATGTGTTGATGGGTTGATGAGATCGTGACTGCGCTTTTTGAAATACAGCGTCTTCGTACGGGTGCTGCCAGATTAGGCGGCAAGAAAAAGTATCAACTGGCCTTACGCCCTCTCGAAGAAAAGAGAACGTGAAGGGAATAGAGTGAGCTGTAAATTTGGAGGGTCGCCCTTTCACTGGGAACCCGGACCGGGAGGAGGCGACTTTTAAGATGCCGCGGCTGAGATGAGTGCAGTCCCTTGGGAGGCGTTTGATGGCCCGGACTTAATCGTTCGGACGGGTGGACCCGCCAAAATTTTGGAAAAAGGGCACCTTCAGCACCAGGGGGCAGGTGTGGCGACTGCGCGCTGTAAGGCTGACAAAACAAGAAGGATGGGTGGGTGGGCGCACTGGGAAAAGCCCAGGCTACGCTCACTATGAGTCACCACCAATCATTTGCCCTCGGGGGGCACAGTTGACTCAACAGCTGCATTTGGCAGTCCCGTTTCCTGCATGGTCTCAAGCCGCTTTGGGGCGCAAGCAAACATATCTGCGCGTAAACCACGAGTTTCCGCCCGCTTTGTTTGAATCTGTCTCGTTGCAAAGCAAAATGCGGAGATTGCCGCGAATTGGCCTCACTGGATGGGTGTGCCATCCAATCTTGCAGATCGCTCTCCGCTGTTGATAGACAACATATTGGCGGGCAGTTTGTCGACATGGACTTGTCAACAAATGAAAACGACTAAACATGGAAATGGAACGTTGGAGGGGTCTTCGTTTTCACCTCTCGGAAGGTTGATCATCCTCATGTGTCACCCCCACGCCGGCGGGATGCAGCTACAAACTCCAAGGTAGGATATAGGCTCCAACTTAAAGATTATGATCATTCACTAGCGCCGATGGTTTAGTGGTAAAATTCTCCGTTGCCATCCAGCAGCGTCGGGGAGCCGGGGGTTCGATTCCCCCTCGGCGCATTCGCTTTTGCTTTTGTACGAGGATCACTGTCTTTTTTTTCCTTCTCCTTCTCCCTTCTACTGTTTTGGCGTCTTCGGAAACTCCGAAGGCAAGTGAGATGTAAAATCGGCTTGAAGAAAGCGGCTTTACTTTAGTTGTGAAAGGAGCTGCGGCTCTTAGGTCTGATGTTTCATGCATTGCGATTCTGGGGATAAACGACATGCAAGTTGTAAAGGCAAACCCGCTTTCGACTTGATCAACGATATAAGTACGGCGCGATGTACGTACCCAAATACACCTGAGGATGTCAGAAACTCTTGATGGATCGGAAGCCTTACCAGTGTTCTGGATGTTATTGCTGCAAAAGTTGTATGTACTGACATGGAGAGGTCTTATGATTTCATCTTCTCTGACACTAGAAAGAGACTGGGGACAGGCGTCTGGTATTATATGGCCCTTTTTTTAGTCGTCTGTTCGTCGTCAAGCCTCGCTGTGATTCGCTCTCACAGTCAGATATTGGGCGAAAGGCATCTGACCTATCACAGGCTGCTGCATAATACCGCCGGGAACCACGGCTTGGAATCTGAGACCTTGGATGCTACTCATTGTATTGTATAGTTGTACGAGACTGGCACGGCTCAATTAAAAAAGATCAGCACAGAGTTGGGGTTCTGATCGATGCTAAGTTCTATCATCCGCACAACCAAACCAGGCTTGCCGGTTGTGTGCCCTCGGCGGCCACTTCTAATAGAGTTGTCTGGACTATCAAGCATGCCATTCTGGTGCCTCTGTATTGTAAGTGATTATCATCCGTTGTTGAGAGAAGGTAACCGCAAATGCATATCTTTGACTGGGTTGTGATATTCATCACAAACTGTATACTAAAAAATGGGAGAAGACCCTCATAAACTGAAGTATTTTACTGTCCTGTTGCAAGAAGCTTACACACTACCATCTGCCACGGTACGCCCACGAACAAAGACCCCCATATTCCCCACCACCATGTTAACACGACTACATTGCCATTGTCTCAATGGGTTTCACAACCACTGTAATTCCTGGCATCACACTGTTACTCGATCCGAACAATAGCTTCACCTTTCTACGTTCATCGTGCAAGGTTTCTTAGACTCCATCATCACACGGCCATTTCAATAGGTCGAAGGTTGTTGTCAGGTCACTTAGCCGCGCCATACAGTCGCATTGCGCATGCCCAGCGGACAGAGCTTGAAGATGTTTAGGACGCAACAGACAGAAAGCGTCTCCCTTGTCGAGTAGACGGAAAGGTGCTCAACTGTAGAACCCGGACTTGCAAACCAACCGGGGCCGGCAACTCGGTCCCCTAACCCCCCGATTGAGGGCTACAATTGGCTTCATGACTGGTACGGTGTACCTACCACGATTCATCAACCGACAACATGGTATGCCGTCTTAAACCCACTCTTTGTAGACGCAGAGGTGCCGAAAAGGGTTGAATCTCCGGGAAACATCCTCGCAAAGCGCTGGGTACAGCTGATATATGCGGGCAATGCTACATGGTTAGAGGCGGCTGTCATCCGAGGTTGTCGTGCTGATCAAGGTGGTTGAGGATACTCTCTTCTGTCCCGGAATCGTGTCTACGGGCCTCTTTATTGTTCCTAACGGCATGCACTTGACTTTGAAGCCCATAAGCCTTGGATGCGGCGCAAGGCTGTCGTGTTATATGAGACGCTTCTTGGTTATGATCAGATGCGTCTCCGCTCATTACAGGCTGGGGTAGGACTACAGAGACACGTCATGAACATCACCTTTTGGGGTCTATATACTGACTGGAGAGCCCTTAAATGCTCATAAGCGAGCTTCTAGCTGTCGGGTTGATATAATAATGGATAAACACACCCTGAAGCACGCCGGTCTCAAACGGCTTCTTATGCCAACAGACATCAAGACCCTCTTGTTTTGGCATGTTTACATGCCTGAATGGACTCTCTCACTCATGAAAGGCAGGGCGTCCGTCACTCAGGACTGGGATGTCACCTTACTCGGGAGAGTCGACAATACAATGGTTGCAGATCCTTGGGGGGCCATTATTACACACGAACCGTTGCCGTGAAACAACCCACCGCCCTATGTGCTCCTACCAGACACCTGCCCGGCAATACCACGGGGTAGGCTGGTAATCAATGATACATATCTATCGAGGTTACACCGGGCAAAAAGGCGAGCGACGTCGTCGCATCTCAGAAACGACGTCAAAACAGTGTCGCGGGGCCCAGATCCAAGTCACCGTTAAAGTTAGTGGCCGGCGTTACCGAAGACCGCCCCGTTGCCGCTGACCGTGTCTCTAGCGTTAGCACGCAACGTTTGTTCATACTCGGGGGGGAGGGCGGACCGACGGTGAGGATATCTGCTTCCACAGGGTCTGCGATTCGAGTCAAGGGAGAGACATATTCTCGACCCGCAAACTCACCCCTCCAGAAAGCACAGAAACGTCGGCAGAGATTGCAGGACCGGAAAGTCTTCGTAGAAAACACCCGACGCAAGAAAAGCTTCTCGGGGGGGGGGGGCTTGACTCCAATCTTACCGCACAACCGGGCTGCTGATCGCGAATGGGTGCTGACGTTGGACTCGGGCTCGTGAGAGGCCACCGGACTCGCAACCCAAGACCTCTGCACATTTGGGGCGTAATCTTCGATATCCAATGAGCGCCTCTTCTCAACGGCTGCTTGGTTCATGCAAGCGCCCCCCCGGCCTCGAAAGAAGCAATGGTTGATGTCTCACAGCGTCGATATTAGCCGCTACCTGATCCCCCTTGCATGCGACCAATGCAGGAGCTGGGGGCTACTGGTAGGACAAGCAAGCAGGGCTTCAAATAAACTCTGCTTGGGATCGGCGCCGCTGTATGTACTCTTTTTTGTCTCTTTTTTGTCTTCTTTTTTTTTCTTTTCTTTTTTTCTCGGGACATCTTTCGATTGGAGGGCCTGGCTGTTGGGTGACAAAAAAAGGCGAAAACAAGACCCGGCGATAAAGCACAGTTCTGTCCGCGTGTTCCTTGTGAGGGTTGAGTCGGATTCTGCGCAACAGGACCGGGCGGCCCTTTGGGCGGCGTCGATCATGAAATAAACTCGGGAGCCGGCGGGAGCCCGCGTGCTATCGGGCCTCCTATCGCTGTCGCAGGTGGCGGTTGGGTGACCTCGTCTTGGCCGATCGAGACCGCGGAAGCGGTTATGTTCGACCCCACTGACTGGTCCGAGCAATACGGGTTGTCGGCTTCGAAGCCGACAAAGGTAATCCTTCGGTGAGTGGCCATGATTGCGCCGTCCGCCAGGTGCTGGTCTCTTTGGTCCCTTTTGCCACCCGTCTTGTCGATCAGGTCGGAGGGTTCGAAGGAAATCTGCCGATCTCCCGAGGGTCCAAGTTCTCCGGCTGCAGCGCCGGATCCTTTGTGAATGCCTCCCTCCTCTCCCTACCCAAAGACTGAATATCCCATAGCCGTTCGTTGATCGGTCATATCGTGCGATGATATCGTTCGGAGGGGGGGGGGGGGGGGGGGGGCATAGCGTTTCTTCTCGTTGGACAGGGCCGGAACATGCTCGCCGTAGTGTGATTCACCTTTCACGAGTCACCAAGAGGACGATCAGAAACCAGCGAGGGCACCACCCAGTATTTTGAGGACGAAAATGCCAAGCTTCTCGTATCTATTTACCGTGGTGCATACTAGATACGGCATCGTCCTGCCGCTGTACCGGGGGGAACTCTCGCACGCCTGATGCCATCACGGGCTTCCTCCACCGATGCCACAAGGCTTGGTATCACTGTTCGCCTGCTTGGCAAATGTCGCCACCGCAGATGCGGGCACATAGAAGGCAGGATGCTGCCCTCGGCACACAGAAGAAGTGGGAGGGGAGGGTATGGGATACTCGTTACGACCTGGCCAATGAATAATGCCAAAGGGGCTTGACAGGATGAGATTGTGGAAATGAGCATTCCGATACGGCACTGTAGATGCGCGGTCAGATCATGGACGGTCTGTGTAAGGAGGCGTGGGCGAGATCTAAGCTCCAGGAGCGCTCGGGCGACGGAAGACGCCCTTTGGACGAGATCCAGAACCGCGCAGACGCCGCCATACTTCTGGGGTGCATATTGCCTTAGTCTGTGCGAAGATTGGATGCAGGGTAGTTCAGATGAGAATTAGTTAATGAACTGCCAAAAAGACCTAGGCGGGCTGTCAGACGACCCCTGCTGCCATTCACATTCACATTCACATTGCTACTGCCGGCCATGTAGTGATCCTCGATACCAGAAGATGGCGAAGAACCCTTCTGCTTGCTGGGGAATGAGGCATCTACACCAAACAGAGAAAAGGCAGAGCTGCGCGTGGAAGTGAAGAAAATAAAGAACCGATGTTTGGGCTGGCAGTGCCCACGGTTCTACACCACGAGGCCGCTCGTTAGTCAGGGGTCCTTGGAGAAACCTAAGGAGAGCTGTATCGGGGTCTAGGAAGCCCTACAACTTCGAAGCAGCCTATGACAGGCAAAAATATCTCGCCGTTGGGTCGTAAATGGTGTGGCATAGTGGGGTCTCGACCGAGCCAAATATGTGTAAGAAGGTCGGGGTCAATTATGGCGGTCTCACGTCCAGCGCTAGTTCCAATCCGGACAGAGGCTGAGCCTGGGAGGGGCGGCTCTCGTGACATGAAGCGCAGGTAGATAATCGATTCGATGCAGCTCGTCAGCGCTAGCAAGCGGGACCATTTGAAAGGGGAATCGAAGCTGTAGGTCGCTAGATAGAAGTAACCATTCTCAAATATTAGATTGTGGAAGTGACTCCGGGAGCGCTTAGATCCAATCGTCAGGGGTGGCGCTGACAATAATACATCACCGGAAGATTCTTTCCTCAGCAACGGGGACGCGGCTGATAGTCGGGCTGCTGTACGGACGAGTTCGGTGTTAAACTGTTTTCCTGGCGTTTGGTCATGCGATCCGGAACTAGGGCGGAGTAGGATATTGCCCGTTGCCTGGTCAAGCAAAAGATACTCAAGCCGGGCATTGGTCTCCGAGACGTCAGAATCATTTGGCGATGAGAGGGGACGAGTAAGTGTGGACATCCGTTGACGGCCGCTTCTCCTCATTTTTGGTTTTGTGCTATTCGGACCTCGTACGGAGTTTTTTTGGTACTTGTGTGAGTCGGGCCAATCCCAATCGGCTATGATGTGGTAAAACCAATCAGATGCCTGGCCCTGATGGGTGTGATTTCCTAATACGAGAGATCCCGACTTGTCATTTCCTGCATTACTGCTGCTGCTGCTGCTGCTGCTGCTGCGAGGAGACTCAGTGCATGCATATCTGACAGACGAGCGGCTCGGCATTAGTCGGCCTGGTCAAATCAGCAGATTGTAACCCCAGGAACAGGCAGGAGACGCCCGACTGTGCCCGCCGTTGAGAGAAAGGCCGAAATGTCCAAAAAAAAAAGGGGCGCTAGCATCGTTGGAGAAGAGACGGACAAGAAAGGTTTGGAAGCAGCAGATGGCATGCGGCTAATTAAGGTTGACCTTCGCCATTTGCTCCAAGTCGCTAACTCGGTTGCGCTATTGAACTCAGGGGACGGCTAGCGGTTCGAATAGAGTTAATTGGTGGTTTGAATAGCGCGCTCCAGTGGCCGATGTGTGACAGGCGGCTGGGACTGGCGCCCGATAAAAAAAACCTCGGTGACCATCGTGGTCCACCCCGTGGCTTCACTTCATCGCCGTTGCCTCGTTATGATTAACAAAGGATGCAAAATTGGTCTGGCTGACTCTAGCGCACCTGTTGGAGAGCTCGTGACCGCAGACGAGCAGCAGCGTCAGAATCCTTGCTGTTCTCGATCAGGGGTCATAGCATGACTATCAAGCCATTGTTGCTGAGTGCGCGAGCGATAAGGTTATCTCGGCGGGGGCAATCCATGTGCTGGGCCGTGGGAGGGTGGTCAGCATGCCTGCACCAGTAATTGGCTCATCCGTGATTTCAGCTATCAGCGCATTGTGGTTGACGCCGTCTTCGCCGGGGGCAGTTTGCCGACGAACAAGAGAGCAAAAGTGACCGGTCTGCTTCTGAGCCTCCGGAAAGCGCCCGATGCCCCTGCCCGATGTGCAACGGCAAAGCATCTCTGATCATGCTGCGTTGGCGGTGACTCTGAGGCTGGCTGGCGTGCTGCGATGCGACGCTGGCTGGTATCTTGTCTACCGAAAGGGCCAAGTCGAGCTTGGAATGTGCCACGATGGTCAGGCCGTATTGTCTCGGTACTGGCGATTTACGTAGCAGTCGGTACCGCGATGCTGGAACGTGGCGGCTCCGACTGATTGTGCTTGATGGTGATGAATTCTGCCGACGCCGCCGCTGCCAATGGACCGGGACAACGCACTGTTCGTGCACGTGTGCACCCTTGCACTACCTACCTAAGCTGCTTTATCTCACTCAAAGGCCGATACTGTGTGAGCTGTCTGGCCAAGCAATGTAACGGAGGTGGCGGCAGGAAAGACGGCTGGTTGAACCGAGGAGGCTCGTATCATAGCCCCCCCTTTTCCTTGTCCTCGACCCCTGTGGGTATCGAGCCACCTTCTCCACTAAACCTAATCTAGGTTAGCCGGGATAGCGGCGGTACGTCACTCGAAGGGTTACATCAAACCCTGGAAATCCAGCTCCACCACTGCGACGTACCTACCTGGGTAAGTAGTGTGTAGGTTACATACAGGCAACAAGCATGGTCAACCGGCCTTGACCCGTTCCATCTACTCGTCTGGTGGCAAAACTAACACAGAGCACCAGCCATTGTGCAAGTGGCCTCGAACAAGCCTAAGCAAAGGGTCTCTTTCATTTGAGCCATCCCGTTGTTCTTCACGTCTTGTTTCATTAGCCGGTAGTCGGCTGCTCGCCGCGTGGTGGAGCGGCTGCACCAAGTGAGCCAAAACCTCCCAGCTATTTTGACATGTCTTGGCGAAGAGCTGAAATCCCAAGGAGTTGGGACGATGGCGGGAGCCTGCTTGCGCCTGAGCACAAACAATTCCCTCGTGGCGGATGGAACTGTGATAGTGGCCGAATGTAGCTCTAGGCATGCTTCGCCAACAATCGTCAAGCAATACGCGGCGCATGCATGCCATTGTTTAAGCGATGCAGCCAGATACTGACAACACGGCAGACTTCACCCGCTCGATGTTAGGACCAATGCAGCGAGCTTGGGATATTGAAAATGCTGAAAGCATGTCAGCAATATTGACACCGTCTTCTCCATCCAGGAAGAGTCATGTAAGGGGACACGCGCGGTTACAAAAGGGGCGATCCAAAGCCTTTCGTCACATGCATGGCTTGCATCGCGAATGTGGGTGAGAGGCATAGAGTTTGTGAAGACCTCAGCAACCTTTGTCAGTGGGTGGTCAGACGGGATGCGGAAAAGTTATAAAGGACGGGACGGGCCCGGGTCAGCCTCAGTACCGCTACCTCAGCCAATGAAGTTTAAGATGCCTCAAAGAAACGCCCATGGAATTGACGGCGATGGTGTTTCCTATTTTGGGCCTAACAGAATACGGATGTTTCTCCTGCACAAGTCGTTTGTTTCGTGGGCGGCGTGTATCCGTTTGTACGATGCCTTACTACCTAAGGTAACCGTGCAGTTGTGCCTGCAACTGCGCAAGAACTGGCACCTGCCTGGGTAGGTAGTGTGGATCGAGATAGATGGGAAGTCTCGTGTTGGCACTTGCCTGCTCCGCGACACTGATACACGGAAACCGTGACAATGTGGGTAGGTACCTAATGCTGCGGTGCGGTTCCAATGTCCTAACAAGTACAAGTACCTTTTTAGCCTTTCAAATGGCTGGCAACAGGTACTTTGCCCTCCGCACACCTGATAATGCACTGCTACCGTAGTCCCCAAATAACCCTTAGGTTACCTCTCCGCTCCCGCTCCCACTCGCCGCCGGTTGGACGACCTGACACTCCGTCCTGCCTTACCTACCTACCCATGTGCCTACCCGGGTACCTGCTAATCAGTCAGTCACCTAGGTAGAGAGAGAGGTACGGATAAGAACTAGCAGCGGTAGGCAGCCCAAAGACCCCTGGTGCCCTGTCTAGCAAGATAGGTACCTGTAGGTAAGCCGACTAGTCTCAATGGAGAAATAGGTACGTACTTCTAACGGTGGTCCTTGCACGGCCAGACCCCACTCATCATGTACGCCCCCAGATCCCAGAAGAAAAGCGCATCTTGGAAACAACAACACAAGACGAGCAACTCACTCTCGCTTTCGACTCTGGGCTGCCGACGAACCGAAGCGGCAGACGTGGATGCGCACGCACCTTCCAACTTCCCTATACCCTGTACTAATTTCCACATAGCTTGTCGTCTGGACCCCGTCTACTCATACAGTCGCCGCCGCCTCTTGGTTCCAAGCCTCTGGCCCCTCGTGCTCTCTTGGTACGATTCGTCCCTCTCCGCCTCGAAACGCTTGGACGCCATGGGAAACGAAGACAATCATTACCTGGCGCTACTCTGCCTGCGGCAATGGTGAACAACGGCACGACTAAGATGGGCCGTGGAAGTTGATGGAGCCTTGGGCTCGGGCACAAAGGAAATAGGCACTATTCATGGCTAGCGTCTGGTCCTTTTCCCATTATCCTCATGGCTCAAACGCGCCATGTTTTTCATCGGCCAACGTCTCCCCGCCTTTCCATCGGCTAACGTCTCGACGTCTTTCCCATCCCCTTCTCAGCGGCCGCGGCAGCAAGAAAGAGTTCAGCTCCCAGCCCCACGCAGCCAAGTTCCCATGCTACTTGGGTACATGCTGCGAGTGCAGCCCACACAGCCCATCTAGCACTCCCGGATAGCCCCCTGCTTGCTCCTTTTGGAGCTAAGGCTTTATGCGAACGTGGCACCCCTCTAGTTCCGTTCCTGGCCGTTGTTCCGTTGTGCCTTGACACATCACCCCCTGGTCTACGAGATCTCCTCTCTCCCGAGTGGGAGGAGCTGACCGGAGCCTAGTCGGTCTATCGCCTACCCCTCCAGGGGTCCTCACCTTAGTGTTGATTTGCCCGCCGTCACTTTGAGGGAGAGTCTGCGCTTCGGGTCGAAATTCATATATACCTCTGTCGATCCGGGCCCATCATGACTTGCTTTCCCTCCTCACTCCCAACTTCACCACATTCTTTAGAACCTTCGTCTTGTGTAGGTTTCTGCCTCTCGGCACACATTTTGTCACCATGAGGACCACACAGATGTCACTCGCTTTTCTCTCCACATTCGCTCTTGTCAACGCCGCCGCTACTCCCCCCAGCATCTACAGGCGTGCCCCCGCTCCCCCGACTCTCGCTAACGGATATGCCTACCAAGGCTGCTATGTGTACGAAAACCCGTCAAAGAAGCTTATCATGTCGGGTAGAGCCGAATGCTGACAGAGTAATAGCGACGTTGGCCGTACAATCAATGAGGCCGTCTCGGTCAATGGCCAGATGAGCAACGAAGCTTGCACTGCCTTCTGTTTCAACAAGGGCTTTCCCTACGCCGGCACCGAGTATGCTGACGAATGCTATTGCGGAGACGCTTTGGCTAAGGGTGGCGTTCTTGCCAACGAGGCCGACTGCACCTCCGTTTGCAGTGGAAATGCTACTCAGCCCTGCGGTGGTCCCGACCGCCTGTCATTGTACAAGACTTCTCTGATCGTTGGCCCCTCTGTGAACCCCGGTGTCGGTGATTGGAGCTCCATTGGGTGCTACGCGTAAGTATATGGACACTTTGCACTCTGCACCCCAAAGCCTTGAAAGCTTACACCATTGCAGCGAGGGAACTACAGGTCGCACTCTCACCTACGGTGTAGGCACCATCCCTGCCAGCCAGATGACCGTCGCCAACTGTACCGCCGCGTGTGCTGCTCTCAACTTCATCCTGGCTGGTGTCGAATACTCTGGAGAGTGCTGTAAGTCGACACTGCAGTACAACAAGCCTTGGCGAGTGTCTCTAACATTTGATAGACTGTGGAAACAGCTTCGCCAACGGTGGTGCTCCCGCCGTCGATGGCTGCAACATGATTTGCAACGGCAATTCTTCCGAGTACTGTGGTGGTCCCGACCGTCTAAACGTCTATGACTTCCAGAACAAGTACCAACCTCCGCCCGCCTCCACCTCCACCCCCGTAGCCACAGCCAGCGCCGTGGGCACCTCGTCCGCCAACCCCGTAGTGTCCGCGGCGCCTACCCAGACTGTCCCCAGCCAGCCACCGACCGTCGGCAACTGGAAGTGGTACGGATGCCAGACCGAAGCAACCAACGCCCGTGCGCTTAACAGCAAGACGTTTGCGGCCGACTCCATGACGTTGGAGAGTTGTGCGACTTTCTGCGCCGGCTTCACCTTTTTCGGCGTCGAGTACTCTCGCGAGTGCTATTGCGGCAACTCGTTCTCTGCCGGCTCTGCTCCCGCTCCCGCCAGCGATTGCTCCATGAAGTGCATGGGAAACCAGCTCGAGTACTGTGGAAATGGCGACCGCCTGTCTGTCTACACCATTGGTGATACCGCCCAGCCCAGTTCGCCCTCCGGTTCTTCTGCTACGTCAACCGCACCGGCAGTCCCCACAGCCACCGGTTTGCCTGCTGGCTGGACAAACCAAGGCTGCTGGGTCGACAACTTGGACGGCCGAATCCTTCCCGACCAACTTCAAGACGACCCCAACATGACGCTTGCCTCCTGCGCCCAGGCATGCGCGGCCGCAAACTACACAGTTGCCGGCGCCGAGTATCACACACAGTGTTTCTGCGGCAATGCCATCTACGCTGGCGGTGCTGTTGCTTCGGACCCCACAACCTGCAACACACCTTGTGGAGGCGAGCCTGATCAGATGTGCGGTGGCCCCAACCGCATGACCATCATGTCCAATGGCAAGCCCAAAGTCTACGAGCCCCCTGTCCCCCAAACGAGTGGTTTCAATGGCAGCTGGACCTACCAAGGTTGCCTTACTTATGAGGGCGGAACGCGCCCTCTCACGTGGCAGGTCCTCTTCCCAGGCGTCAACACTGCGAACCTGTGCCTGGATCGGTGCGCGTCGTTTGGGTACGAGGCGGCTGGTCTCGAGTACGGCGAAGAGTGCTACTGCGGTGATCCAGCCAACATCGCAACCGCCCCCCCTCCGATCAGCTTCGTCCCTGAGTCGCAGTGCAACATCCCCTGTGCCGGCAACATAAGCGCCATTTGCGGTGGTGGCAATCGTCTCTCCACGTACTATTGGACCGGCAGCCCTCTCTACTCATGGGACTTCGGTACGGACGCGCTCACGGCAGGGTCCTACGAGTTTCTTCTCGGCGGTGTCTGCATTCCCCTGATGACCATGGAGACCATCACCGGCAAAGTGACCTTCCTCGAGAAGTTCGGCACTGGACCGCCCAACTCCACTGGCGCTTACGAGCTCGACCTGTCCCTCGTCCCGGACATCAGCACGTCCTGGAGACCCATGCACGTCAAGACGGACGTCTTCTGTTCCGCCGGCATCACTCTCCCCGACAAGGCAGGTCGCCAACTTAACCTTGGTGGTTGGTCTGGTGACTCTACCTACGGCGTCCGTCTTTACTGGCCCGATGGCAAGCCTGGAACCCCTGGCACCAACGACTGGCAGGAGGATGTCGAGCATCTTCGCATGCAGGATGGCCGCTGGTACCCCTCTGCCATGATCATGGCCAACGGCTCCATCTTCGTTATCGGAGGCGAGGAGGGCTCCAACGGTGCAGCCGTGCCTACCATCGAGGTCCTGCCTTTTACCGGCGGCAAGCCCCTCACCATGGACTGGCTCGCGCGCACCGACCCCAACAACCTGTACCCCTTCGTTGCCGTACTTCCCAGTGAGAACATCTTTGTTGCATACTGGAACGAGGCCAGAATCTTGGACAAGACCACATTCGACACCATCCAGGTTCTTCCTATGATTCCCGGTAGCGTGAACAACCCTCAGGCTGGTCGTACCTACCCGCTCGAGGGTACTGGCGTCCTTCTGCCCCAGCACGCCCCTTTCACCGACCCGCTTGGCGTTCTCATCTGCGGTGGCTCTACCGAAGGCCCTGCTTATGCTGTGGACAACTGCGTTTCGATCGAGCCGGAGGGTGCCAATCCCCAGTGGGTGCTCGAGCGTATGCCTTCAGCTCGTGTCATGTCCTGCATCGCTCCTCTTCCCGACGGCACATATCTGATCAACAACGGGGCTCAGCATGGTGTTGCCGGTTTCGGTCTTGCCACAAACCCCAACCTCAACGCTCTCCTGTACGATCCCCGGAAGCCAATCGGTCAGCGCATCACGGTCATGGCCAACACCACCATTGCCCGTCTCTACCACTCCGAGTCCATTACTCTCCTCGACGGCCGTGTTCTCGTCACTGGATCCGACCCCGAAGATGGTGTCCACCCCCAGGAGTACCGCGTCGAGGTCTTCAACCCTCCCTACCTGACCAACAACAAGCAGCGCCCTACATTCACCCTCCCCGTGACTGACTGGGCTTACGGCAGCACATACACCTTCAGCCTCGGCCAGGCTCCCGTTAACGGCGACATCCAGGTCTCTCTCCTCGGCGCCGTGACTTCGACGCACGGCAACTCAATGGGCGCCCGCACGCTCTTCCCCGCCGTGAGCTGCAGCTCTACCCAATGCACTGTCACCGCGCCGCCCGGCGCCGGTATTGCTCCCCCGGGGTGGTACCAGTTCTTCGTCCTCGACGGTGGAATCCCTGCCATCGGTGTCTACGTCCGCATCGGCGGTGACCCCGCCCGCCTCGGCGAGTGGCCCAATGTCCCGGGCTTCGCGACTCCTGGTGTCTAAGCTTTTTCATTTTCATCAGAGACATGGCTTCCTTTCTCTATACTTAGGGGGGTTCTTGGGGTTCATATAGGTCTTTTCTGATTCTCACAAGCGATATCCTTCTCTTCTTTTTCTTCAAACCTTTTACAGCCTTGGGGGTCTTGTCAAATTTTTGGCATGGGTACCCTACAGTCGCTACAGAAAATATGATTGGAAGCTTTCAGGAAAGACTACACACACTTAGGATGGTGTAGCGATGAGGATGTTGGCCAATCTCCTGCAACGAGGCCGCAGTTCGTTGTTTCTCCTAGATAGTATACAAATTGATAATGTTTTTAACCTATCACATTCTCCCACTGTTCGTCGTGCTTGACTTAGCCATCATGTCAACCGGTCTACGCAGACTCTAAGCTGAATTCAACAAGATCCTCCTCCCATTGGCAGGCAGTAAGTGGAAAACCTAGAGGAGCCATCTTAAGTTCGAGTCCGGTCGTGCTCCAGGGGTCAATGACTACTGTTCGTTCGGCGGGTGTCTATGAAGTTGTAGCTCTGGTCTCAGGCCTGCCGGAACTGTTGCCTATGCCGCCTTGGTCGTGGTGCGGCGAGGACGCCACTCCGGCGGTGACCCTTGGTGTTGCTGGGTCCATCCTGCTTCCTGCGGTTCCTGGCAGAGTAGAGGTGCAGCAACGGTTGCCTGTCAGGAGATCTCGATACAGCCCCAGAACCAAGACTTGGCCAACTTTCTGGCCAGGAACGATTCCGAGGTGTTCCTCTGAACTTGCACAGAGCGGGAAACAGTCCGAAAGCGGCTCCGAGCTGAGGTAAGGTTGCCGGGGGGTAACGTACGGTGTGCAACCCCGCCAGCGGGAAAACACCCCACCATAACTGTGGCTTCCAAGGCACCTGTCCTGCACCTTTGACGTAGCCGGGCCCAAGCAGCGAAAGGAAATGGCCGGGTATCCCGTGTAAACAAAAAGCAGGAAACGACCCGGTGAGGCAGGCATACACGCAATCTCCAACGGAAGAACTCATTCTCATGCGGCACCCCTCCACCCACGCCCCGCCGACGAAACTCCCCAACTGCCAGGCGCTCTCCCGTAGGAAGAACACCATCATCATCACAAAAAAAATCCCAGACCCCACCAAAACTTGAAGGGAAACCCAAAAAGAACACACATAACAACAACAACAACAATACCATGCCGCCCCCTTCTCAACTCACCGTCGCGACCCTCTCGGTCACCCGGCTCCTCAAGGAGGAGATCTCCTATGAGAAGGAGCTCATCCAACAGAAGGCCAAGGTCGCCACGCTCGAGGCCGAGATCAACGACGGCAAGCCCGACGAGGACGGGAACCGGGAGTACATGCTCAGGCAGCTGGTGCGTGTAGCCCTCCCTTCCCTCTCCCCTTTCATTTTACCCCTCACGCCCGGACCGTCCAGTCTCGAGACATGGAGCGTCGTCTGCCATGTTTTGCCTCGGACAGAGAAGAAGTCAAATTGAAGATATATAGATATATATATATATATATAAGAGATGCTGACGAGCCGGCACTCCAGAAACTCGCTGTGGAGGAGACGCAAAAGATCTTCCCCTCCCTGCGCACCCGCGTCGAGGACGCGACCGCCAAGCTGGAGGAGCAGATCGCTCTCGCCGAGAGCGGCGGCACGGCGCCCGAGGAGCTCGAGACGGCGAAGCTGGCGCTCGCCAAGGGCAAGGAGGAGAAGACGTACGTGACCGACACCACCGGCTCCGCCTGATGCGCTTCTGGTCCCTCGTGCTCTTCCTCTTCCTCTGCCTCTTCTTGATTCTTTTTTCCCCCGCCGTATGTCAGCCAAAAAAACACAAACAAAAGAGACAGGTTTAGCGATCGCGTTTTGTCGGGTGGCGGGCAAGCAAGCGCCACGAAGCAAGTTCAGACCAGCTGCTTTTTTATCAATGGGTATCTCAGTTGAACTATCTATGAGCCTCGCCGGGTCCGTTGTGATTCCCGTGTCTAGTTGTCAACCTCCATGCTGTCGGGCGCATCCACCGTGATAAGGGGCGTGTCGCCTCCGGAAGTGATTTGAGCGTCCTGTTGATCATCCATCTCGACATCCTCCCCCTCTTCAATCTCGTCATCGTCATGTTGGGGGCCGGGCGTGCCCTTCTGGCTCGGGACTGCGCTGCCAGACCGCGAGAAGCTGCCCGTGCCACCCGGCCGCGGCTTGAGACCGTCCGCCTGCTCCTCCGACTGGCCATCCAGCGCCGAGGTCGGTCTCGGCGCCGCACCGCTGTCTGGGTGCGGCGTGACATTGCCGCTGGAGACGTGCCGGGGCGTCTGCCCGTCCCTCGAGGCCTCGCCGTCCTCCTCGCCGTCCTCGTTCATGCCCTCGCGCCTCTCGACCTCCTCCTTCTCGTCCCGGATCTGCCTGCGCAGCAGCATGCCCTCGTCCATGATCTTGCTGAACTGGTCGCGGCGCTCGCGCCAGGTGACGGCGTACGTCTCGCTCTCCTTCTCCAGGTCGCGGATCTCCTCCTCGAGCTTCTTCAGGTTCGACTCCTGCTCCCCGCGCGGCCGCAGGCCCTTAGCCATGAGCGCGTTGGCGAGCTTGTCATACTCCTTGCGCTGGGCGAGCGTGGCCCTGGCGCCCTCGAGCTGCTCGCGCAGCCGCGCGTTGTTGGCCCGGACGCTCTGGCACTCCTCGAGGATGCGCTGCTGGTCGGCCTTGTAGCGCTCGCGCTCGCGGACGTTGGCGTCGAGGAGGAACTGCAGACGGGCGATGCTGCTATCGAAGGCGGCGAAGTCGAGCGTGAGGTCGTCTTTGATCTGGTCGATCTCGCGGAGGGTCTTAGCGGCGGCCTCATGCTTCGACGTATCGCCGTCGGTTTCCCCCTCGCCGTTGGCGTCCTCGGGCGGCGGGGTGGGTTGTTGCTTCAGCTGGGAGTTTGCGATTGTGGTGATGGACACCAGTCTCTTGGTGATTCGTTTGAACGGCTTCTCTTCGATGTTGACCAGCCGCGTCTTATGCAGCTCCTGCTCCTCCTTATCATCCAAGAGATTCCACGACGCCATGGTGCCCTGCTTGTTCTCGAATGGCGCGTTGGCTAATCGAGTGGTCCGGGTGGTGGTGGTGTTGGTCGTCAAGGGTCGAACCGCGTCTCGAGCTGTCCACTAACGCCTTGTCGTTCGACAATGACTTCGGGATAGGTCTATTCGTAATGTGAGGGCATGAGAGTTCCCCTACGCGGTGCAGCGCTGGGGGCTAGATGCAATTCTCGAGAAAGATATCAACGCTCGAGATGGTTGGATCTTCACAAAAGTCAAAAGAAAGCTCCCCTTCCCATACTTTCTCTCTCAGCCTTGCTGTAGGAGCCATTCTTAGTTGGGATTGGCTGGGGGATCTTTAGCGCCATCCAAGTGGGTCTCATGTGCTTGTCTCCACTTGCCCTCCGGTGGGGAGCAAAGTCAAAGCGTCCCCTTCCTAGGCACTGTGATCTCATCTTCTACCCTGCAACAACACAGAATACCTTCGATCGCAAAAGTAATAAGTCGGCAAATCCACCACACTTAGTCTTACGATACTGCGCGACTTTCTTGGTAGAAGAAAATGCCCTCCCAGGAGGAACAAGAATTGCTGGCCAGGATCGGCCAACTTGCTGGTACCGTCTCATAACTAACAAACAGCAAAAATTGCGCGGATTCTAACTTGGTGGCAAATAGGCAAGATCAACCTTCACAAGGCTCAGCAAGCCGGCGTACAATCGGTCCCGAGCAACCAGGCCTCCTACAGCTGGAGTACGTCCAATAATTCTCCCCGGGGGCCATCCCGACGCTCACACGACGCAGACAACACTCACCGACACGGCGGCTTCCCCCACAAGCATCGCGTCGAGCCTTACCCCTCAACCCGAGGCCCCTCGGGGTTTCGCCACCGATCTTTGGTGCTGAACAACAACGGTGGAACGCAAACGCCGCCGTCCGACTCGCCCACGCCCGAGGCCTCATCCGGCTCCTGGATTTCTAAGAACACCCGCGGCCAGAGGTCGCTGATCAACTCGGCCGTCTACGAGAAGAACAACGAAGCGCACGTCAAAGCTATCGAGGCATCGCGGCAGCGGAAGAACCGCCAGCAGGATGCGCGCGAGCAGTCGCAGCTTGCCAATCACTTCCATCGCTACGGAGGTCAGGCAAGAATGCCGCCCACCCCTACTAACGCCACAGCTACAGGCAATCACGAGGTCGAGATTCAAGGCATTCGTTTCCGCGTCGCTCACAGCGGAAGCAAGCTCATCAAGGTGTCGGGTGCGTCGCCACGTCTCTCCTGCCAGGCAGGGTGCACTCACAGTCTCATAGGAGATCTCCATCCCGTCAGCGCGACGCCGAAGGTCGCCTTTGTCGGAGGTGTCAAGTTTCACCGAAGCAAGACCGGCAACCTGTACCGAGCCGGTGTGCTCAAAGCTCAACGGTATGACGGTCCTTTTCATGGTCGATAACCGCTAACTTTAGTTACTTGCCCAGCCAAAACGGCGTCAAAAAGGTCGACGTGCCTTGCAGCATGTTTTCGCTGACTGGTATTTCATTCACAATCTCATCCGGCTACCCACCCGTTATCCGCTCAAACAGGCTGGACGATTTCTTACGCATGTGGGTATGAGTACTGGACACCACTAACCAGGACGATTTTCAATCTAGGTTCATGCGCCAAGGGCCCGGCCTGCCGATACGTCCATGACGCTTCGAGAGTTGCCGTCTGCCGAGAGCTGCTGCACAAAGGGAACTGCGCCAATGGGGAGTCTTGTGATCTTTCCCATGACTTGACGCCCCAACGCACCCCGACATGCGTCCACTTCATCAAGGGCAACTGTGCGAATCCCAACTGCCCCTATGCTCACTCTAGTGTGTCCCCAGGTGCCCTGGTCTGCCGTTCGTTTGGTATGTACGGCTACTGCGACAAGGGAGACGAGTGCGAAGAGCGGCATGTCTTTGAGTGCCCCGACTTCAGCAACACGGGCAAGTGTAAGAAGAAGGGCTGTAAGCTCCTTCACCGCGAGAGGGCAAGCGTCCTTCGGAAGCGCACGTCCGAAGACGAGACGGAGGATCTGTCGAGCGATGCCGAGTCCGTCGACAGCGACGACGTGGACTCGGACGAGGTCGAGGAGTTTATCACCGACGGCGTTGGTGACGATACTGACTTCAAGGTCCAGAAGGACTTTATCTCTTTCTGATCGTGATCTCGTGCCACCTATGGAGAAGGCCTTTTCGGTTCATCTCTTTTTTACTGACATGTTTGCTATCCACTCCATGAGGGAGTCCAGGCTAGGGAGATCCCGAATCGAGTCTCCTTTGTGGAGAGCGTCTGCCAATCGCGGGAACGACTGGGGAGAACAACAAACGATACCCCTGGAGAAGAAGAAAACGACTAGAGCATTAATACCATGCTTTCAGAAGATGAAGCTGCTGAAGCAGAACCATGATAGAAAGGATAGAGACAAAAAGAGAAATATTGGAACAATTTTTTTTAATTCTTTTACCATGGCCGACAATAGTGACAAATGATGTATACCGATCAGCGTTTGATTATGTGCTGTGATTATTGCGAAAGAAATTGGTGAAATTAGTGAAAGCCACCATCTAGAAAAGTGTCAGGGCGGTGACAGCAAGATTTTGACCTTGGCCCAGCATCATTTCGGCGTGCGGGCCGACCCTCATTCGGCCTGGGACCGGGTGTCTCAATTATATCGATTAAAATTTACCCCGCCATCCGCCATCCCAAGTAATTTTTAATTTTTTTTCCTTTGCCACCCCTGTAAACCTCCTGAATTTAGCTGGCCACTAGATGTTATTGCGCTGACACATACGCATCTCAAAAAGACACCTCTCGTTATCACTACTATGTAGGTACTTGGATCTACCTGAATGGCGCCCCCTCATTGAATCGTGAAGGGGGAGGGAGGGGGGTTTCAGCGCCACAGACGTGCCTCTTAGTGATGACTGAGAGCCCTCTGTTCTTGGGTCAGACGCTTGCGAGACGCTAATCGGGTCCCCAAGGGTGGCCTTGTTGGAGGAAGTGCACCGCCCCTTGTTGGAGGCCACTGTACCATTCAGTTTCCGGGGTTGTGGATTGCACCACATGCGACGGAGTCGTCACCAACTTAACCAAGCCTCCTTTTCTCATGAGGCCTTGATGTTTATTCTTTTCCGACCAGATATATACATTTCTTCCCTGCTTTACTGTGCCTTTGTTTCCTTCCTCTGCTCCAGTTTTAATACGTGTCCATCGGGATCGCACTAATCGTCAGACGTCATCATGGGTTTACGCGACGTCCTCAAGAAAAAGGACCACCTCGAGCATGGCGACACCAGCAGCCAGGATGCCGTAGACAGGCTGGCCGCCCCCGAATTCACGTTCATCCGATCAGATACTCACTCGCAAGAGGTCATCCACCCCCGAGCGCGCCGACGGGCGAAAGTAAGGATCAGCTCCTGAACCCCAAGGAAAGCGTCGGCGACCAGAAGCCCCGGCGCAGCCTCGACATCTTCTTCGGTAGCCGATCGCGCAGCGTCTCCGCGTCGTCCCAAACGAGCACGACTCCCCCCAGGAAAATCGGAAGACGGCTGTCGGAACGGCTGCACCTCGGCCGCTCGCCCGCCTCGTCAGACAACGTCCCGCAGAACCTACCCGACATCATTTCCACGGCCGAGGGCGAACAAGACGAGCTGCAATGGGAGAAGCGCGCGACGATCCTGGCGTCGGCGAACAAGAGCAGGCCCGAGACCCCGGCAGTTGACGAGGAGTCTGGGAACACGACGAGGGGGCGGTCCCTGAGCGCGGCGGTGTCGTCCCCGGCCACAGACCAGGACATCCAGGAGGCCATCCGGCTGCACGAGGCGGGGGACTTTGAGAAGTCAACAGCCATGTTTGCCCGGCTGGCCGATCCTAAAGGGGCGAATAACACCCTTAGCCAGTTTCTCTACGGTCTCTCTCTGAGGTGAGTTACATTGGTCTGGACTGGCCTGGGCCCTGTGCGGCAACGTTGATCATGCCTCTCCTCGTCTATGGGGATGGTCCCATGCGCGAGCGTCACGGCTCGCCGGGCGATCACATTGCGCCGGAGACTTTGGCAACGCTCTACAGGTGCCACGATGGCCAGATGCTTTGGTTTTCAATGACGCGGGTTACTGATCAGTGGCTGTTGGCAGGCACGGCTGGGGCTGCGAGCCTGATCCAGAAGGGGCGATCAAGTACCTCTCGGCGGCGGCGTCGAACGCGGCAAATGTTGAGCAAATGGCGTTGAAGGCCGGCCTGAAGAAGGGCGGCGCTGCCAAGGGCGAGCTCGTTCTGGCCATCTTCGAGCTGGCGAACTCCTTCAGGCACGGCTGGGGCACCCCGAAGGACCCAATCGCGGCCAAGCAAGTGAGTCGCGCCGTCCGCAGGACATCGGAGGGCGAAAGAACGCCCCCGAAGTCGTAGCTATGCCTGAGCGGCTAGAACTGACATCCCGCGGCAGTACTATGAGACAGCGGCGAATCTTGGAGACAGTGGTGAGTATGCCCCGATGATTCGTTCCTGGGCGTCGAGGCCCGATGCAAACATATTGAGTACGCTAACCAGCCTCGCTCTTCTCAGACGCCATGAATGAAATCGCCTGGTGCTACCTCGAGGGCTTCGGCTGCAAAAAGGACAAGGTACGTTTCGTCATATACCACCCGTTCCTTCGTGATGATGCGTCGATCCGAGCCGGCAAACCAAGACCTGGGGCTTGGCCCCTGGGCCAGGACGGCATCAGCCTCAACAGCCCCAGGTTATGCGTAGCTCGTATCAGCAAGCGCACATGTCATGGGATGAGCGCGGATGCCTGTTTGACAACCATTTGGGGGTCGTCGGCAAAGCTGCTTGGTTGGGGTTGGGCATCAACACAGCGGCCGCGAAAAGCAGCCACCACTCGGCACCCGCGCAAGACGCATGCTCAATTCCATCACATGAGGCTGACAACGTGTCCAGTTCGCAGCAGCCCGTTACTACCGGTTGGCCGAAAAGAACGGCAACAAAACGCTAGGCAACTCCTGGTAAGTCGTGCCCGTCACTTTAACCCACTGGCTTTCGTGGGGGGGGAGTTGTTCCCCAGAGCTGGGTTTGGCGTATGTATCACTCAGGGGGGGGAGAGGGCTGCAGCTCCTGTCGCGGATGACTCTCGTGCTGCGGCATTGATAGGCTCGCGAGGTCTCCCGCTCCTTGGCGCGGCAGCTCGCCCTGCTTTCGTCCTCTTGGATGACAGTAAGCTTCCAGAGCTGCACGTAATTACCTGCTGCTGCAAGCTGTGCTGCGCTGCACCGCAGTCCTCGAGCGCAGATACCCCGAGTCTCGATGCCGCTTTCCGAGTGGTGTATCGCGATCTCTTGCCAGTTTCCTTTGTATTCCGTTCCTGACGCCATCGTCCCATGACCTGGCGCCAGTGTGATCTGACCACCATGATTTGTAACACAAAGACTGACGACAGCCCCCCCTCAACAGGATTTGGAAGGAGAAGTACAACCCGGGTGCGGGCAAAGAGAAGAAGTAGCAGGCACAACGGATGGAAGTTGTCAGAGAGGAGGGAGAAGGGGGGGGACTACCTACGTGTGCGTAAGACGGCCGAACCATTGGTGACACGGCGTTGCATACTCGAAACGGGTGTGCGCGGACGGCGGCCCCGTGCAGCCCTGTCGGCGACTCCCTTTCTTCCTGCCGCACGGTGCCACCGAGACGCAAGATCGTCACACGGCACGGCGGGTGCGCCCTCCCTGAATCGCGCTCAAAAGCGTTGCCGTAGCCGGGTACGGTACAGAATACAGAGCACAGCAGCACGAAAAGAAAGGAGCTTGTTCTCCGCCCCTCCCCCCCCCTTTCGAGCGACTCTTGAAAGACTATATGGGGAGGACGGAGATGGCAATTCGGGTGACGCAAAACGTACAACAGCAAATGGATGGCCGATAGGCCGAATGCGCGGCGCGGGGCTCTTCGGCCCATGCTGTGCGCCGTGGGTCGACCGACGGGCCTGCAGGTCTCGCGTGTTGTGGGGGAGCTGGGAGGAGTGAAGAAGACGGGGGAGAGCAGGCAGCTGTAGCGGATAGGTTCAGGGCCTTGTCCTGGACGCATGCCGCGCCGAGCTGGCTTTTTCTTTACTGGCTGAGCCATGCATACACATACACACACACACACGTACGCATACGGCTTGTCTTGGGAAGAGTGGTTGTGGGAGGTTCACTGTTTAGGCACGCTGAGGAGTTATCGTGAGGACCGGGAGGGCTGCGCTACTATCATCCTTTGTTTTCTTCTGGTGCTATTTATTGTTTAAACATACCCTGCGCGTCGGCATGCCGGATGTTCCATAGCTAATAGTACAAGTTGAGATCTACGTTGCTTTTTTTACTGACTCGACTGTTCCGGCCGGGGGCGGAGACGGAATAGGCAATCATCGGCACCCGGGGGGGGGGGGGTGTGGACCTCTCTCCCCTTGTTTGCGACGCCCGGCGGCTGTCCCCGGCCGGCCCGAGACAGGGCCCCTCCCGACGTCTTACAACCTCACGGACTCGCCGTGTGCATCGTCGCATCGTCCCATTGCCCCCCTCTCCCCTCTCCCCCTGAGAGAAAGATAGAAGAGATGGAAGAAAAGAGGGCTCGGAAGCCGATGCACGGCCGAGGTATATCGACAACGCGGACGATGGGACTCTCGCGGACGTTACCGTCTTCAGGCTGTATGGCCCATCTTACGACACGAGAAAGAAGTGGTCTCTGCTCCGTTCCTCTCCTCCGACCCTGTCTCCAAGCTCCCGTAGACTCAGGGGCACAGATGGGCGTAGGGCCAACCTGTACGGAGGGGTCGCCGCGGTTCCTGAACGGGGGTTTGCAGGCAGCTTGGATGGGAGAGATACACCGGGGAGACGGTGCGATGTACTCGGTAAGACAGCAAGCCCCCCCCCCCATAAGACACTGCCGTCGCCCTGCATTCCTGGCAGCTCTTGCACCTGGCGACAACGTGGGACTCGCGCGTGCGGCCTTCGTGCGGAAGACTGGGGGGGGGCCAGTCACGTCTTCTTGGGGCGTCAGGGGAGAAGAGAACAACTCGTCGTACCGTTTCCCAAGTCCATTGCCCTCTCTTCTGACCGTTTCCTAAGTGACCTTCCGTCCTCCTCCGTCGCATGCCCCCCCCTGCCGAAACGGTGTGCGTCCGAACCCAGCCGACGCCCCGGATGCCAAGGATGCGAAAAACAGTCCAAGTTGTCATGATGGCAGATATACGTAATGCAGCTAATGTGTCGGGAGGGAGTAGTTGCCTGCTACGGGTTTTCTCTCCGAGAGATGCAGTAGCAGGTGCTTTAGTTCTCAAGAATGGGGCGAAGGGGGGAAAAGAGCCAGATCGCGGGGGGGAGGGCTGCAATCGTCCCGACGCAACTTTTTTTTATTATTATTTCGTGTAGAGCTTGGTTTACGTCGTATATTTCAAGCGGGATCGAGGGCGGTCCCCTTCTCAAAGCGCTAGAGCGCGCGGGTTGCCCAATGAGCGGTTGCAACGTCAGCAAAATCTCGCGCTCTTCTGCACCTAGACTCACCTTGGCCTCACCTCTAGGCCCGGAAACGAACTTTACCGGTCTCGATCGCGCGGGGTGCTTCTCCGGAAGGTGGCGGGCAGAGGGGGAGAGAGGGAGAGAGAGAGAGGGAGAGATGAACGACATCCGAACTTTTACGTGATAAGACGCCGACTCGTAACTTTGCATCATGACTGCTCACCTGGTCGTTGCCTTTGCCTTGGCACGATCCGGGCTACGAGACGAGGAGAACCGGGTAGCGCGTGTAGCGCGAGCGAGCGGCACACGCACGGGAGGGGTGGGCGGCCGTTTACCATCAGACCGCTTCTTCACCGACGGCATAAGTGCGCGTCTATCGGTGATTAAACACTCCCGAGGGCGGGATGCTCACGACGTGGGATCGCGGCGCGCCAACGAGTCGCTTTTGTCACCGGGGCCGTTCACCGTAGAGTTCGACCTTGCCTTAGCTACGTTTAGTAAACCTAACCTCCCCCTCCCCCCCTTTGGCCGGCGTTCGCAGCTGATTCCTCCGGATGCTTCTTGTTGGTGAGAGGAGAAAAGCCACAGCGAGGCTAAGATGACTTGCCGCATATCATCTATCACACAGATGTTATTAGATACACCACGCATGGCTGGGCAACCCGAGAAAACGACTTACATTCGGCATACGAGGACAGACATGCGCGGCGGAAGCAAGCAAATCCGGACAAGAGAGAGAGAGAGAGAAGGAAGGCAGGAGCATGTCATGTTCCCTCGCCCCCGCGACATGCCATCACCGCGCAGCAAGCTCTTGTTCCCGTGAGCGCGAGCCCAAGCATGCGGCCTCTGGAGGTGTGTCTAAGACATGCCGACAATCCAAAGACGGGGTGGGAGTTCTCGTTTTCTGCGCGCCGCGACATGGACACAGAATACCCTCTCAAACGAGCGCCACGCGATGAGCCACACCTCTCTCGGTCTCTTCCCTGCTTTCTTCCCCTCCATCTACCATGAGAGGATGCGTGTGTGTGTGTGTGTGTGTGTGTGTGTGTGTGTGTGTGCGCGCGTTTGCCTGCCGTCTTACCCTCCCAAAATCCCATCTCGGCGAGAGATTTATCTTGGCATCTCACCCAACGGGGGAGGAAGAGGAGAGGAGAGTCCGTAGGTATGTCGAAAAAAAAGCCGTACCATCCACTCGTTCCTCTATCGCCTCGTCTCGGGGGGGGCAGTCATCTCGCGATGCGAAGGAGCTCGTGCGTCATCAGCGCATCTTCCAGCATTTCCCTAATTCGGGGAAACGAGGCTAACACACGCTTTTCCAACCCCCCCATCGCCGTCCTCTGCACCGCCCGACCATCTCATTCTTAGCGTGCGCGTACAAGCGTAGTCCTCTTCACCCGCCAGAGGACAAAGACGACGCTACGCACAAGCTCCTTCGTCCCTCCCGAGCTGTGAAGCTCCAAGCTTCCGAACAATCCCATTCTCTCGCCAGCTCCATTGTCTTGTCTGCAGCTTCTTCCCCCCAGGGAAGAATAGTCTGTCTAGTCTAGTCATTCCCCTCCACCCCAAAAGCTGCACACCCCCGGGGTTCGCAAGGGCCCGGCTCTCTTACCCGCATGCCGCCGCCGCCCAACTTGACGGGCTCAGCCCACCTCGTCGCGCGCCGCGCCGAATCCGCATAATACCAATAACATCACAACACCTGCCCCTACCCCGAATTACCAACCAATCCAGGACCTCGGAAGACGTAAACAATGGTGGCGACGACGAGAGCATCGCCCCCCCCCTCCTCCGTCCCTTTCCCCAAAACTGAGGTGACCTCTGCCTGCCCGAGTGACCCTCTCCGAGAGAATCCTCCCCACCTTTCCGCGAAATCTACTACTACCTATTCCCGGAAAGGACGCAGGTCACTCACGTACTTCTTTCGCACCTCACTGGTCAAAAATCAGGTTGCCATTCTAAAATGTCGACATGGGAAAAAGGATGGTCCCCTCCCCCGCCACTTCTATACTGTATTGTATACACACTTACATCCTCTCTCTCTCTCTCTCTCTCTCTCTCTCTCTCTCTCGCGGAAACTGGGAAACGCAACAGGCAACTACTTCCACTAAGTCTAATAGTCCCCCCGTCATCATCTTATCACGTAGGGTGGAGAAGACAAGATCGCAACATACAAGGCAGTAGATCTTTAATAGACGATTTCTCTCAACCCCCCCCCCCCCCCCCCCACCGTCACCCATATCCGTAAGTCGCCGCCGTCTGCACCAAGTTAGGACTTTCCTACCGAGGCGGTTGGCAGCGGCGACGACGACGGCCCCGCCTGGGCTTCCCTTTCTCGCCCCTCCCTCCCACATCCCTAGTGGCGTGTGCCGTTTCCTCCCCAATGAACATGCCATCCAGGATGGAAGATGGCCGCATCCCCATCATCCATCATCGCGGCCGTTGCCTTCGTTCCGCCCGCGCTAGTCCATCTCCCTCGCTCTCCCTCGCTCTCTCTCGCTCTCTGTGACTCTCACCATGCTTAGCCGCCTGGCGTCTTCGGCCTTCTGAGAGGGCGACCCCCGCTGCTCTTGCCGAACCGGGACCCTCCCACCCCCCTCCACCCAAGGCTCCCGCAGGTTTCAACGATCAGCGACTCACGGCGACGGGGGGGCTTATTTTAGCCTTTCCCACCTCGAGAGGGGACGGGACACCCGGTGTCATCTGCCTTTCCCATCGTGATAGTTCGCAATGTCACATAACGGTCTGGATAAGTCACACGGAGAAAAGCAGCGGTGAGTTTGGTGTTGCGGTTCAGTCCATGTCATGTCTTTTTTCGGCATTTGCGAAGATGGGATTAGTAGCTACGCGGATAGAAAGGGGGGGAGAGAGAGAGAGAGAGAGAGAAAGGTGTATCGAGGCAACGGCAGGCTAGCCATGTCTGCTGCTCGTTGACCCGAGTAACCCAACCTAAACAATCATCTCCTCGCTACGCTAGCTGTTCGTTTGGCTCGTGAGCATGCATACTCGTTTGATACGTCTCGCAAGAGTTGAGCAAGAAATACTGGACAATATTATTGATGGGTGGTAGAACAAAAAAGCGCTTTCTAAGAGCAGTGATGATATTTCGTTTCGTTTGACTGTCATTGATTCATGAGATTCGTTTCGACTCATTTCCGTTTCCACGTTTCGTCGCGAGACGCTCTCTCGTTTCTCGTCCAACAAAAAAACAATCTGCAAATGTGCGCGGCGCACTGCTACTGCTGCTGTTGCTGCCGCTGCCCATCTCCTTTCAACAAAAGAAATGAGACTCAAAACAAAGGGAAAAAAGAAACTAAATCGCAGTCCCGTCCAAACACCTTGCCTCCGCTCCCTCCTTGTGAGATGACGTCCCTCATAGTTTGTGAGACCTGCTCTCCTCCGATGAACCCAAGATCCCTCCCCAACTGACCCTCCTCTCTCATCCCGTTCCCAAAGCCAACCGCCCCCTTCCCGGTTTCCCATTGTATAAACATCGGAAAAGGCTGGCCGTCCCGTGTTCCCTTATCCCGGCCAATCGCCCACTCACGAACCCCCCCCCCGCCTCGCCTTGAAAAAGCAGTAGATACCAAACTAGATATGTGGAGAAACACAGTGATATCAAACCAGAATTTCAAGAATGCTCGCTCGCTTGCTAGATACCGAGAGGAAATGCGACATGTTGCCAAATCAAAAATGAAAAACAAAAGAGAATAAACAAAATATCGATAAAGAGTATGTCCGAAAAGCTTCGACCGTTGGCGGTGAAAAGAGGTTTTGTTTGGTGCGTGAGCAACATTGTATGGCTGAGTGTTTTGTTCCGCGGGAGCGGTAGAAGTGTATGACGAGCTTCGGCTGAGAAAGAGACGATTCCACACACAAAAAAAAAGATATGGGGTTATTTTTTTGGGGTGGGGGGGCATGTGTGTGTGTGTGTGTGTGTGTGTGTGTGTGTGTGTATGCATGTGAGTGCGCTACTGAGTTGAGAGTTGTTGAACGTGATGATCATGTATCGCTTTTCGTCTTGTCTTCATTATTCGTTGGCGCCGGCTTTGGCGCTGTTTCCTTCCGACACCATTTTGGCAAAGTTCCTGACGACTTCGCTGGGGATTTGGTCCCAAAGGAGAGATCTAGTGTAGACCTCGGCCGCGGACTGTTTCGTGCTCCGCATCGCCGCGAGGGCGTCAGCGAGGTTCTTGCGCCCTTGGCTCGTGGAGCGCTCGGGGGCGTTGTTGAGGAAGTCCTGAGAGCTGACGCCGTTGTACTGGGCAGCCGAGAGGCCGAAGAGCTGCTCGTTGGCCTGCTCGTCCGTGGGCTGGGTGAGCGAGTCGCCGAGTTGACCGAGCATCGAGGGCACAACGCCACCCATCGAGGTGTCGCCCATGGATACGGCCGAGTTGTCAACCCATGAGCCGCCAGAAGGCTGAGGAGCGACGGCGTTCATCGTGTTGGATGCCCCGTTGATGCCGGCGTCCTTGAAGACGTTCTCGAGGAGCGTGGCGGCTTCGGCACGGACGTCTTCCGACACTCGCGGGATGGAAGGGGTGGAGCGGCTCGACAGGACAAATGCGCCCACGAGGAAGAGCATGAAGAGGATACCGCCCTGGGACGAGGACTTTTCGGACTCGGCAGGGAAGGTTGCCTCGGCCTTCTTCGCCGGGACGACCTGAAGCTCCTGCTTGACTTCCTGCTCCATCGAGTACTCGCCGAGGAAGTTGACGTTGTCCCAGGTGCCGGGCATGTTCATGCCGTCCATGTCGTCGTAGCTGGAGACGAAGGCATTGTTGGAGGGGGCGGTCATGGCTGCGTTCTCGAGACGCTGAACGTGGTCGGTGAGAACGCTGACCTTCTTGCGGAGTTCGCCCGTCTCGATGGTGTGGGCGCGGATCATCTCCTCCTTCTCCATAGTAAGCGATTCGATGTATTCCTGGTTGAACTGCTTCTCCCTCAGAAGCTGCTCCATCTGCTTCCTCATCTCGGCCATCTCCTCCTCCATGTCGGTGAGAACGGCGGAGAACTGCTTCTTCTCATCCTCCAGACGTTCGGTGTGCTGCTTCTTTCTCTGGCGAGAGTCAAGCCTGTATCATGTGTTAGTCACGGGCATCCCAAGCGAGAGAGGGAGATGTGTGTCGAAGGGGTTCACTCACGCTGCCTGTCGATTCCTCAACAGTCGCTTTTGCTGCTTCAACTCCTTGATCTCCTGCTCATCGGTGGATTGGGCGATGAGTTGGTCGATGTTGCTCAGGTTGCGCTCGGCCGGGATGTCGAAGCGGGCGTTCTTCTTCCTGATACCGTCGCCCCTCCTCATGTCGTTGTGAGAGCGGATGGCGGGGCTTCCAGGGCGCATCTTCTTGGCCATGGATTCGGCTTGGCCGAGCCAACCCTTCTGCGGAGAGGTCGGGATGGACTGGTTCCCTGAGCCGATGGGGGCAAACATGTTGATCTGGCCGGTAGGGTTGGTGAAGGGCGTCTGGCCTTGGGCGGGTCTTTGGAACATG